CGGAAGTCATATTATCGGTTTTATTTCGTATATATCTCGAAAGATACCTGATGCCCCGTCAAAACTACTTGAAATTAACGAAAAACGATATGTTTTGAAACGAATTTCAACCATTTTGAACACCAAAGTTTAATGGCCCGCTGAAGATATGGTTTGCAGCGTACTCTGGTCTCATCGACTCAAAATTTATGTTCGTTGTTCGGACCCTCCAAAAACATACTTCTTTTCAAAGCATCGCAACGTTCTATACACCAAATTGAAGAAGAATTTCTTACCTTTTAGAAAATTCAGGTCGCCATATTCATTCTACATGGAGGGGATCCCCTTTTGACTAGAAAGAGGTCGGGGTCGAGATCTCGAAAAGTATCGCGAAGGCGCGAGATGTGCCAAATTTTAAAGAGATTTGGAAAAGAAATCTCTCTAAATAGGGCTTGGCGCAGATGACGGCCGATTGCCTGTTTGGAATAGTTCAGACTGTGGGATACTGTCTGTAATAAATGTTTCCTTAAACCCTAAAATGTACGGACCAATTAAATTATTTACAGAGTTCTATTGACCATGAGTATCATGGGAAGGCATTACCTGCAGTTGCATGATTACATAACCAGACAAAGCCTAATGAGTGTGACCAAACACAATTCCCTCACAAATGATCCAAGTGTTGACATTTGCATGATAATTATTGTTTAAAATTCTAAATTGGAAAACAATAAGGAAGAGAAGTATGTCAACATTATCATAGTTATTAATTTTCAATATAAAAACAAGGACCATCAAGATAAATAAAAGTTTTCCACATAATGAATTCATTGAATTAAAGTTTACAAAGGGGAAAACAGGCCGGTGCATTCTTAGGCACTAATTTATTCCTCCATATACACTGATTTACTTGGAGAATGCACTGGCTAGGAACATGTTCTGCCTCATGATATATCAGAGTCTCTCAAAAGCGTTAGGTAAAGAGGGACTCTGATAAATCAGAATGTTACAAGTGTGTTGGTACATATTACGTGAAAATGAGGTGTCCTCCTTCAAGAGGCATTGGAAAAGAGTTTTTGGAAATGGCAGAATATGGTATTGCATTTAGTCTGAACCCATGTACTTTAAAAACATATAAATGTTAAGTCATTAATTGGTAAGTTTTGAGATCAGGTTAAATTATCATTTTGCAAAGAATAACAAAATTATGTATTGATTCGAGATATATAGAGTAGAATATTATATAATATGTAGATGTCATTGTTAACTTTAAAATGGTATTCTTATTCCTCATAGGTTCAAGTGTTGCTGATCTCTTACTTGCTACAAAAGCTTTTGCGTAGCAGTCCAGATGTACAATGTCAGACTGCCAAGTTTTAAAGAAGTCGGAATATTAAAAATATAAATAACACCAAATGAGAAAACAGATTCACTATATGGCCACTATCTACTTCTAAGATGCCAATAACTCTGATACTGTATCTATTATGTCATAATAAATAACATATTTCTTGACTGAAAAGTAGTTTTTCACTTTTTGTTTACGTGATTATCCAGCCTTCACTTTATAATGCAATATTTTCATTGTGTTTGTTTGTTTGCAAAACAGGGACATGCTATGTAAATCAATAAATACATGTATATGGCATTGATGGTTTTAGTTTAGTTTAATAATAGTTTATTTCTGTGTCACATGTTTTTCCTAAAATATTACAGGTAAAATACATGTGTTAAAAAACCCATCAGCCGACATCAGCTTACAAGACACCATATAAATATACAATGTACAATCAATAGAAATAAGAAAGTTTGCAGAGCCGACATATACAATCAATAGAAATAAATAAGTTTGCAGAATGTGAATAATTCACAGACAATAGGACTGGAGTTAAATAACATAAAATATAAACAGGAGATTTCAAGGTACAATAAATGAGAATACTGTAACTATGATTTTGGTTGAATAAAATTGCACATTAATTTCACAACCTTACTAGTAGTCTGTTTAATCTTAAATGCACATATTACATAACCCTCACCGAATATGCAAGCACCACATGAGTACAGATAAGACTAAATATACATACCATTGAATCGGACTGTGGTTGATCAGCTGCTGTGGTAACGCCATTTGGCATATCCACTTTGCCAAACTGGAGTGACCTATATAGAAGTTAGACATGAGAATTAGAAATGTACAACAACTCTTTGAATTCTTTTTTAATCAATAATTATGACACTGTCTAAAATTCATTCTTTATTTCAGTTTTAATGTTTTAGAATGAACGTGTCTTAACTTGATCAAGTAATAACAAGGCATTAACATGCAAAGGATTACTACCTGCCATTTGTTACAGACACCAAATAGCAATCATCAAACACTGAACACTAAATGCCAAACACCAACCGCTGAACACTCCACAAAAAAGTTGGAAACTATAACAATATGTCAAAACTTGTATCTGTAATTGTCATTTCTACACCTTTCTCACTAAAATCTAATTGAATATATAAAAATGCAAAGATACCATAGGTAAAGATTAGGCCAATAAAAATGGGACACACATATCTTCTAAAGAGTATTTTTCTGACAATAATACAAATTGTCCCATTTTTCTGACCCACCCTGTACTATCTCTTACTTCTGTTCTTTCTGCATGCTGTCTAATTGTTCCAACTTTGTCCTGTGTTCTGTCTCTACTCTAGAAAGCATGTCTTTAATCACAGCCATAAATGCGTTAAACTGAAAATTACAATAATTGGATGCAGGAGATTATTTTTGACGATTGTTTTAAAGATCATTTGCTTTTTATCTAATATTTCAAAATGCTTCAAAATTAACAGTTCTTGCTTTTTAAAACTAGTTCTAGCACTCTATGTGAGGTCATAAGAAATTTTGAAAAAATCTTATATTTTAATATTTTACCTCACAGATGAATACAAATGTGAATAGCGGAAGCAGACAAAGAATGATAAATAAATAGGCTACCAAATGCTGAAAAAGATTTTTTCTAGCCAAAGCAAAACAAGATTTAAGTCAACATTTTTCAAAAGTCCAGGCCCAGAATGTGTGAAAATGGTTCGTTTTGACCAATGAGGTCTAATAGTCTATAGTCTACTGTTAGAAAGGAATTCTACCTGTTGAAGGTTAAGGTTGTTGTCAATAGCAACAGCAATTAGAGCAGGTAACACTTGAGTTGCTAGGATATCTTTAGTAATGCCAAGCTTTTTATGTGTTAAAGTCACTTGGTAGATGCCTGTAAAGTACATGTGAAAGAAAAGTGATATTAGTAGATTAATCAAGGCAAGAAAAAAGCAATGAGTATGAAAGAATTTATTTACTCATGTAGCCTAATGGGACCAGGAAAATCTAATGTTGTTAAAATGAACCTACCAATAGAAGGTAAATCAGGCATTTAATTTTCACAACATTTATAGATGACATTGTAATATTTGTTTTGGCTAATTTCATCAGGTCCCACAAGGCACTGCTTCATTCTTGGAGGCCCATATAAAATACAGTGAATACGCACTAATATGTACCATACACTAGTATAAGATACACAATAATATGCAAAAATTATTTGAAATCAGGCATTCCAATTTTTGTGCATTTAAATAAATATTTTGCATATCCTTAGAGTTATTATGACCGTTCACATAATGTTATGAGGAAAGGTGACCAGATGCCAGATCGGAGTCTGATTTCTCTCAAGTTGTAGTTCCTGCAAATTGTTAAATAAAGCAGAAAGTAAGTGGTTGTTACTGTTAGTCAGTAGAGTTGTAGCACACTTGTTATTAACTTGTTAAGAAGACCTATAGCTACTGTGGCAAAATGAGGCTACATTTTGATGAGGCTACAATTTGATCCTCAATGGTTTTGCTGAATATTGTGTTAAATTCAGGGTGCTCAAACTTTTTTGTCAACAGTATCCTATTTCTATGATTGGATAAGTACATCCAATGATGGTCAAATTTGCCAGTGATACAACACATGTATCTAGCTAGGAATAATGATTCCATTGTCAAAAACTTTCTAGACACCCTATACAATGAATAAGAGCAAAACAACAGCAATGTCATTGCCTCCAATGTAGCCACATTTGAGAAATTTATGCATTGTGCCAATTATGCTGAATGTACCAATCCTATACCTGTGTTGGGTTGAGATTTTGATTGTCTGTAGATATCATAAGAAGTAATGGTATGACTATTTTAGTCATCACTTCCTTTGTAATTCCAAGTTTTTTATGAGTTAGACAAACATGAAATACTCCTGAAACATGAAGCAATATTTGTTTATTCGCAGACCAAGTCACACAGCTTGGTCATGATTTATACACTTGACTAAATGCACATCATAAAACATAGTCATGACTCAATGTCACACAATAGAACATAGTCATTACTCAATGTCACACCAAAGAGCATGGTCATGACTCAACATCATATCATAGAGCATAGCAGTGACTCAATGCCACATCACAGAACATAGTAATGACTGAATGTCACATACAGAGCATAGTCATGACTCAATGTCACATCATAGAACATAGTAATGTCTCAATGTAACATCAAAGAGTATTAAGTCATGACTTTGTGTCACATCATGGGACATAGTCATGACTCAATGTCACATCATAGAAAATCAGATTAACAAGCTTGCTCCTATTAACCAAATTATCATATATAGCCTATTCAAACATGACTGTTTAATCAAACCTTCTATAAACTGTGAACAATGTCAATATTTCACCTGGTATTCATTCATCGATACAATACCTGGTCTGTACTAAATGTTTGTTCAGTGCACCGGAAGTAGGAAATGAAGTGACGATTTTGCAAATTTTGGTGAGTTTTCATGTTCAAATTGTAATATTGACCTCAGATCGGTCGTTTTATCAAGTAATAAATACCTTAGGGCTAGGCATGAAAGCTTTCGGTAGTTCTGGGTACAGAAAACGTTTGTACCTGGCCCTGTGATATTTATATGTCGATATAATACCTGCTCTTCAGTCTATATTTCTTAAATGTGCATTACGTTTTATAAATATTTTCCTACATTTGATTTTGTATTTGTACATGACACTTACAGTATATTAAATTTCATGACTTTATCCAAAACATACTGTCAACATACAAACATTAAAGAAGAATAGTAGATAACAAATTTACCTAGCACACTCATTAAGACTGCAGGTTCACGGGAAGGTATCTGTTGAATTATGGGAAATATCTCATCTAGAACGTACCACTTGTCCATATATTCAACAAGTTTCCCTATGCACATAAGACAGTTCACACGCACCTAAAAATACATTATTTTATCACTATGTCACTGACAGGCATGGTCAAAACTGGATCATGAAAGATAAGGATTTGGGCTTTTTGCACTTGTGAAAGGTGGACATATTGATGCATAAGCTCTTTTGATCCCTAAAATATGTGGACTCATAGAAAGAATATTATTGTATACTCACAGAGAGAGTATTAGTCCCGAGACATAACTTCTTGACACGAGGCATGACTGCATTCTTCATACTGCTGTATTCAATTAGGCTGGCAAATGTTGGTAGGATGTTTAGGCATAGTTCCTAAAATAATATACATTATTATTAGTAAACTGTTAATTTAACAGAGTTTATATTAAAAAGTGGACGCAATAAATGCTAAATAGATGATAGATTGTTTAGGTTGGGCTAAAAATACCATTACATAATGTGGAAATAGCTGAAATCAAGTTATTTATTATCCTTAATGGGTTAAATAATAAATATACAAATATCTTAAAATCCCATTAAAATGATATTTCAATGGTAAATAGCAAAGCATCTCTTGACTTTTTCTGACCTGTATCTGAGGGGAGGGGGCCTCTAACGAGCTGTACACCATAGGAAGCACATGGTTCTTCACATCAGAGCTTGGTGTTTTCCTAAGCAGCAATGTCATATTTTGCAAAAATATCAATTGTATCTGAAAAAATGATAATAGTAAAAAGTAGAAATATTTGGATCAACTGGAATTAATGGCTAGATCGAATCAACTATAATAAATGCCTGAAATAATTTAATGAAATTAAAATTGAAAAGTTCATTTTTGAAGCCTAAATGGCATTCTCCTAGTATTATAGTTTGCACAACTTGTGGCCTGATTTGGCAAAACATTAATTATAAGAAACATATCCATAGTAAAAAAAGAGGTAATTATTTGCTATTTTGCTATTTTAGCCATGTTTGAGTTCAATGAAAAAATATTCAAAATGCCATTTTCCTTTTGAAATAAGATTTTTTTCTGCTATATAATCTGCACTTTTAGGTGATGAAGCAGTTAAGAAGACTAAAGGTTCAGCCAACCATTGACATTGCCGCTCACCTGAACTGGCTCCTTTATTTTGAAAATAGGTATGATGTGAGGCAATATGTGGGTGACATATTCCTCATTGGTAGCCTCCTCTGCAATGTAGATGATGTTGGGCAGTAGGAATGGAATCATATCATGGTTGGCAAACTCGGAGTATAAACAAGGCAGTATCCTCTGGAGGCATACTCGCTGAAAAAATGTACATTTTATGGTCAATGTATTGTTCAAACAAAAATTCCTACTGATACAGTTATCTGGATGTGTGATCTCTCCGTATGCAGATATTGAGTGACCTCCCTATTCACCACATTGGACATCCCCAGACTTCTTTCCCTGGGGATGCACTGTATAGACATTAATACAATTCTGTTTTCAATTATTGGAATACTTATCTGCATACCTTTGGCAATTTTGTCAAAATCTTGGGAAGTCCCTTAAAGAACTGTGACTTTTGTAGATTGTCTCTTTGGAAGAGTGAGTCCAGATACTGCAGAGTCATAGAGCCTACATCCTCAAAGAACTTGATCTATAACATAATATGGAATAACATAACATAAAGGGTAAGAGCATATACGTATGTATAGGGATATAATTAGGGATAGTGACTGCAGAGTCATAGAACCTACATCCTCAAAGAACTTGATCTATAACAAATTTAAGAGATAACATGACATAGAACAAATAAGGGTTATGCTTCAGATCTAGAGTTATAGTAAATCATTTTATTTATCACCAACACTTGTGCTTTGTTTGCATTAATAAAACATTGTCCCTTTAGTTAGAAATCTTAAATTTCTATCAACATTACATATATTTTTGATGCATGAAAACTGGAAAGTGGAAATAAAAAGTGTTCATGTAATTTTCTGTGAATTTTTGCTTTATGAGATATACAGTGTATACATAGGTTGGTTACTGATTAAATATGAAATAAGTCAACTTTGAACCCAAGTAAAATCAGATTCAAAGTGTGTCAGTAGTTAGTTATTTTATGTTAAATAAATAAGAAAAATTAATTCAATTTATTCAATTAGATTTTTTCAGTTGACTAAAAACCTACACAAACCTTGGAAAGCTGGTCGGCATCTGGTCTTAGAGTAGGCTCCACATTAAGCAGCATCTTCACATGTTCCTTGGCCTCCTGTGGAATTGACCCTAGAATGAATGTGGTCTTCACACTTCTCAGCTTAAAACACAAAACAATGAAACCTAATTGAGACTTTACAAGTTGAATTTTAGACCCCAGATTTAAGTACATCGAAACTGTCAGAAATATCACAATCAGAGGTAAATGTTAAATTATCACCAAGACATACTACATGTTGGAGTTCTCTTCCAATGATTTTATCTCAAGTGAGTACAAAATTTTCATTCACAATTCTGAAAGGTTTTGTCAAAATATGCCAGTTTTTCAATATTCTTTTATTTCAAGTGGAAATGCTTCAGGTGGGCGAAGTTATCTTCATAAAATCAAGTGGTTGTAAAAAGATTTTCAATTTTATGTTTTTAAAAATCAAGTGGAAGTAATAAGGTTTTCAGGTGTCCATTTTCTGCAATACTGATGTAATGTATGATACATTAATTCAATGTTAGCACTCAATCTCCATGCATACCTCAGAGGCATTCTTCTTGAAGGCGTGCCATTGGTCCCTGCACTCAAACAGTGTCTTCCCTTTGTTAAAGATTGCATAGAAGACAATGCCAAGTGAGAACATATCACTGGAAGTGTCACATGACATTGTGAGGGAGAACTCTGGGGCCAAATAGTCCAGGTTTGGCTGAATCTTGGGTGGCGATTCTGGATTCCACTCCCTAAATGAGAACAGTGCCTACAAAATAAGTTCACAATTCAGGAAAAATCACATTTTTGTAATCTTTAATAACAATATTGTGGTATATTAATTAGCAACAATGATAGCTATTGGAGAATGGCATCGTCATCATATTAAATATTACAAATAATGATAAACTCCCACTAACATAAAACACTTACTGGCTGATCAGGTGAGTTGCTATTAGGAATGCAACATTCAAAGCCGGCTATCTTCCATGCACCATTTTTATTAAGTATTATGGTCTCTGGACTTATGTTACTATGCATAATTTTGGCATCATTGTGTAGGAATGTGAGGCCTTCTGTCACCTGAACACACAAGGAAATTATAAATAATATTTAGCAGTTTCCACCACGGCAGCAACACAAAGTATACTGTTACACAATCCTATAAAGTATCCATTTAAAGGGGTTTCATCACAAAATCTTTATGAATGAACATAGTCATTGAGATGTCTATTTTACCCCAAAAAGCTGACAAATATTATTGCACTTAGAACATACTTCAGAAAAAAACACAGGATCATTTCACTTCAATGTGCAGAAGATAAAAAAATTGTAATCTTTTCAAAAACATTTCAAGAATCTACATTTTCCATCAATCATCATACTGAATCAGTAACTGATTATGAGATAAAAATGTAATTTTGATAATCATTTTCATCAACAAGTGGAGATATCAATTAAAAATAATCATAGAATACATATTACCTGCAGAAGACCATATTTGATCTCAACATCATACAGTTCATGGTTTTCTATATTGGAGGGTACTGGATTAGGCAGATTCTCATGTTGTCCAAGAATGTTAGCCAAACTGGCAAACACTGGCTCTGTAGCAAAGGCCAAAGAGTCCCTGGAGAAAGAAAAATGAACATTAACAGATTATCACATAGTGAATGATGCAACTGAAAGGATGGCCCATGTTTTATTTCTTTCAATTAGGATTTTAGTGAAAATCTAATTATATAAACATTATCATTAAACCTGATAACTGACATGTTATTATCGTTGACTATAATTTTAAAACAGTCTCACTGAATGGCATTATCTTTGCAGTCTACCATCTTACCTTGATTCTTCTAAAGGATGTAAGACGGAGAGTATCTTCGGGTGCCTCAATCTTGTAAGCTGAGACACTCCCTTCTTAAGTGTCTCTATAATAATATCTTTATCTTTTCTTGAGTATTTCTCTATGGTCTTCTTTTCAAACACGAACACTGATACCTCCTGAAATACAATAGAAATCAAATACAGGTTGGGCCAAAGAATGTTACCCATTCTGATTGTATAAGGGTAACATTTTTTGGCCCACCCTGTATTTTATCATCCAAATTATATATATATATATATGTAGTATACAAATGACTGCCTATTGCCAGATAAATCTACAGTGGCTTGTGGCCAGATACGAGAGGGAGGGAGACTGTGACATTGTGAAGGAATAAGTAAATTTGAAAGGAGGTGATGATACTCTGTACTTCAGACTATGGGAAGTTCCCCTGAACAGCTGTCTAAAGAAGCCTTTCTGTATAATATTGACATAACGATATGATTACCTGTTTTGTTGTTCGCTTTATGCCATTGTATATTCGCCATAACAACCCTGGGCCTCCACTGGCAACATGCTGCCCTATGTCAAATTCATTCGTGACTGGATTGCCTGTGATCGCTACAGCAACTGCTCCTTTAAGCTTGTTGAATAAGTCCATTCCTGAAGATTGTCATAAATTTTCATTGCAATATGTTCATACAAGTTAGTTGAATACAATATATGAGCTGCAAGAGTCCATCACTTAGGCAGCATCTCAAACGTTCAATGTAGGATTATTAACTGTATTTGCGCAGTTAATCTGTGACCCCCCTCCTTCCCCCCTCATTACTGTGTTTGAGAAATGTTGATGTGCATTATTTTCTGTACCCTTAAAGACGCATGTGCAAAATTAATTTATAAACATGATTGGCTGATGATTTTTTCATAGGCATGCGCAAAGTCTGATGAACACTTATGATGAAAACATGTAGCGAGCATTACTAGATCTCAAACGAAATTCCAAGATCCAGGTCACTTTGCTAAGCGTTTGCTATGTGGTCATAAAATGGAAAAAAGAATCTTCTTCTTTTAAAGAAAAAGATTCTACATCTATCTACTCTACCCATTTCTTATTTATAAGATCTGCACCATCATCCCCTGCTTCATGATATGCAATGCATCTGAGTCTGTAAATAAATTGTTTCTGATCATCATTATAAAGTTGGTGTGTCATGTTGATTTTTTGACTAAGAATTACTTGAACTTGCATATTTGGGGCAGGGTGCTTACCAGGATTTTTTTAGCCTGGAGCTTAACTCGCAACTCCTGAATATATTCGCCGCTCGTTTCGAAGTGATTGACAAATTGGCCAGAAATAGGTGGGGTTTTAATGAATGTGGTATGTAATACAGTGTGTAATGTTTATGAGTGCTGATCAGTTGTGGATTTTAACATGGCGCACTTTATCAATCATCATTTAGACCAGAAGCAATTCAAGTGGCAAAATTATAGCCCATGCCGAGCCGGGCTAAAGCATCCTAGCAAGCAGCCTGAGGGGCATCTATGGGATGTATGAGAGACATACTTGAAATAGTATAGCAATTTGTAGCAATGTTTAATCAATGTCAAATGAGGTAATTTGATTCAGAATTAAATGAGCTTTAATTTGATATATAGTTTGTGTGGGTGCCTATCCTGCTATTGGCTGTGGAGGGGGTCACAGCGCAAATTGACACCCTTAGATACAGTCAGATTCATAATTCCAAAACAACTTTGAATCAAAAAATAAGTAATAAGTAGGTAGATACGTGGTTAATAGCATATAATTTTCTTATTAAAGCGGCTCTAAGGTCTGTAGAGAGAAAAATGGAGAAATTTTACCTTTTCTGAGCTATCGGGGTGAAGTTTGGTCCAACATCTTCTTCCTTATTCCTATTTTATAAAAATGTATGCATATGGCAATATTCATCAACCAGTAGAACTGGCAAATCGTTTAGAATCTACAATTCCATACAAGGAGTCCCACTCATAGATTTTTCAAATTCTTTCCAAGTCGACGTCGAAACACCTAGCAGGTGAAATCGAAACTAATTTTTCTGGCTGCTCGAATCGATAAAATCTCTGATAGTGTGAGTCTTTTTATGAAATCTTTCTGATATTAAATGTTGAATCCGAAGCGAAATCTGAAATAAAAGTGAAAAAACATTGCGCGGACGTCAGAGAAAAAACTTCCAGTTTAATAAAAAATGGCAGACGTCGAAGGAGAAATTATGACGAAGAATTAGAGGATTTTCCTTTGCCATTATCGATCGTTATAAGGTATGTGCACAAATTCTAGTTGCATACATGGAAAATAGATACATTTTTAAAGGCAACAACATATTCAAAGCTTTCATTTTACGATAGGCCCAGGATCATTGGATACGACTCGGCAATCGATATTCCCACTTTAAGGAAGTCAAACTTAGAATAGATTATATCATTGACTCAAGTTTACAAATCGACAAGATATTTACATGTTAGTCTATCAATGTTATGACAGATGATTCACATGAATTGGAAAGAATAATTGAGATGACATGCACGATCGAATGGAAAATAAAACAAGATTAATACTGAACAATGAACTCACCGCAAATCACCTGGAGACAAGGATTATTGCTAAAAATTCATTAGAAATATAATTTTCCTCAACTGGGATGTGAAGTACGTCATCAATATTCGTGTACACCATACCGGAAGTACCCCGGAAGTAGAAATATATTTTTCGAAATATTTTGAAAAGCTTGACTGTTTTGCCATTTATCGGTAAGTCTTTCATCATTAATTCTTTAAAGATATTATATTTAGTCAACTCCAATCTAAAGTTTTACCAGATATAATTTATAGATGGTAGAACCGAGTGAGAAGTGAAGAGGAACTAGTTTTAGTCTATTTTTTATTTTCGATTTGTCGTGACACACACTGACTGAATTATGACTGAATTACATGAAAGTCCAGTAAAGGTATCCCTTCCCATTACTCCCCCCCCCCCAAGACGCACACTCTCAGAAATGAATGGCAACAGTCAAAATAGCCTTCGCCTAAATAAGTCATAAAGTCATAAAGAATTATGACACATACAGTTGGGGACATAAATAAATGACAGGTGGATTTGCTGAAGTGAGGATTTCCCATGTTAAAAATAAGAGAATTTACAAGAGGCCATGAATCAGTGGATGAGATTATACAAAATGTAAAATATACAAATTTTAAGGGATATGTATCTAGACAATATTGGAAATTATGGGCTTTCAGACCACCATAATTAGGAAATGGTGATCGAAAATCGACCTGTCATTTATTTTTGTCCCCAACTGTACTGACTGAATTAGGACAGGGTGCATGTTCGGAATTTTGCTGCATCTCAGTTGAGCCACGTGTTATTTTTCAAATAGGAATCACTCCTTTCCCACATACACTACATGTGTATTTGTATATTAGGCATCCTGACATAGACATAGACATATTAGGCACATAAGTGCACTCTTTGTGCAAAACTGAAAGATGTAGATAATGTGAGGAAGGAGTGATTCATATTTGAAAAATTACTTGTGACTCAATTGAGGATTGCATCAAAATTCCGAACATGCACCCTGACCTTTATCTCACTATCACACTTATTCAGTCGGTTTCATGGTAAAAATAGCAAGAACTTTGACATAGACATACATTGTATAAGTGTTACCTGATGAATGGGACCCTCACGTGCCTTCCAAATGGTAGTAAACAAACTCTAGTGTAACTACATCAGCTTATCTTTCCGTCCGATCAACAATAAGTACAGTTATACAAGAAATGTAAACGAAGTGAAAAAATTCCCAAAATTTTTCCGAAAGGCATGTCATTTCCGGAAGTTATGATACGTTATGGTGTCACTACGGTAAATCATTCACAATTCAAGTTCTGGTGTGAGGTTTCATATCCATCCGCCAAAAGGTATGACCTCTATATAGTCCATTTAAAAATTTGTGGTTTTGTTCTAAATAACGCCATAGTTGGATTCTAGGGTACCTAGTATGCCACTATTTGGTATCAAAATAAAGAGGAGGAGTTCAACTTTCATTTGAATTACGAAAATAGCGATGTAGGTCAAAATAGTTCTGGCGTGAGCATGTTTACTACGCGTTTGCCCGTCATTTCAGAATTGAGGAAATGGTAGCAAACGTGAAAAGTGAGTTACAATAAATGGACACTGATATCTCAAAAAGTAACCTGACTCCCTATAATTTGATGTAGATCAATTGAACCCCTATATGAACAGGTACATTTTGATATATAACACCATGGGGGGTAAGTGTTTTATAGTTGATCACGAACGCCATATGTGCAAAGTATTGTTCTGAATTTTCGAATTTGGTGTTGGCTTACGGTACTCACACCTTCTGAGGTATATATCGCCATTTTCGAACGAATTAGCCCATACAATGACTATATTTTTGCAATCCCCTATACATAACCTTCATCTTGACACTTTATTTAACAGGGTTTGCGTCTCGATTTTTAAATATCACTACGCCAACATAGGGACTCATTTTTAGGTAAAATCCCTGCTTCACCGATGAAAATTAACGCATAAAGTAGTTCCTGTTTACGGGACTATATTCTTGAGATTTTTTTCTAAAAATGGCACATTTAGAAAGTACTTGGCCTCAGCTTTACATACATACCACAAATGGCCACAGTGCATACACTTAAACCTACTATACACACCATTGAAGTTGGCATGGCTTCGTTTTTAAAGTATTAAAAAACACTGTCCTACCAAAAAGTGGTACCCGGAAGTGGGTGAAGTTCACACCAAAAGTAGTGCGAAAATGGCTTTTTCATGTGTTGGCATAAAGTTTTGATGACATTTAAAGACACAGTTCCTCCTTCACCTATATTCAACTTTTAGCATGGCGACCTTGACCTTGAAAAAATATTGCCATTTGGGCGATAATAGGTGATTCAAAAGTAAAAATTAGTGCTTTTTCGTAGTTTCACTTTGACCAAGCCTTTAAAAAATCGAAGTGGTAAACCCACCCCAATTTATTATGGTGGGTTTGGGTGCTTTTTTGCTCTCATTTTTTAGCCCATTTCTATGGTTGCCATGGCAACTATTAGGCTTTGGTAACCATGTCAACTTGATTTTTCAAGGACATCCGCCTGATAGTAGTTGGACCAAGTTTGATGGAAAATGGGCCTTGTTTGATATGCTGGCAGTGAGGTTGATTGTGGCAAGTAGTAAAACGGCAAAACAATGGTGGAGTCATACCCGATGCTTGGATGTTCGCATTTTATTTAGCTCTCGTAAAATGAACGAACAAACATTCCATTTTCACGCATGTTCGGTAATATAACGTATCATAACTTACGGAAATGACATGCCTTTCGGAAAATTTTTGGGAATATTTTCACTTTGTTTACATTTCTTGTATAACTGTACTTATTGTTGAGAGAGGGAGGAATATGAACGGTGAATAATAAAACAAAAATCTCCATGCTTTTTAAAATTTTCTTGTGAAAGATGCACAGATATACACCTCAATAGAATGAAATATTTGTGAATTATTCATTTAACACAATATTGTATCATTGAAGTCAAGCTCTTGTTATAAAAATAATTAAGTGAGACCTTCAACCAAGATCCCTTCCCCCGATCCTTGAGTGATAGTTCTCAAAACATAGTTCCATGTGAATCACCATGTGATAAATTGATCACTGATTGGCTGATCATATTTAAGGGGTGTGTCACAACTGACCACTGAACATGAGGTTTGCTAGAGAATTTTCAATGAAGCTTTTGAGCCAATTCACCTTTGAACAAACAATAATATCAGAGACATGTCTTATTGTGTAATTATAAGTCTCTGATAATATAGACAACAAAGTTAGTATAAGCTAGTATGTGGAAAGGATGTGTGAAAGGGTTGGTGGTATTATGTTGGACTAATGAATATATTGCTGTCCAATTCTTCAAACTATTTCTCTTGAAACAGGACACAAAAGTACTATTTTTATGAATTTATTCAGAATCCAGCCATATTCTTACTCAAATGATGTGATTGACCTTTTCAAATATACACATGCATTGGTGAAGAATATCAGAGATTTACTTCCTGGTTGGTTTTATTAACTTAACTTTGATTGGTAGACACTTTATATTACAAGTACACTGTTCATGTATATATATGTTATCTCAGAACTGTTAGTTTACAGTCAAATAATATAAACAATCAAGAAAATGTATAGCTACTGTACACATTTCTTATTATATATTTTATATTTACTGCAAAATATGGTAGCAGCAGGTGTTGTTGGATGAGTACATACTGGGTATTATTTCAACACATTTTTAGATTTGACTATTTCATTGTGTCATAAAAATGACTGTTGGTAGTTTGCAAAGAACATTCCTCTTATCTAATTCTTATCTAATGCTCCTAAATTATTTTCATCTAATTGTTCAAATGGTTAAATTCAAATCTTTTGTGTATTTTGGATTGTTTGTGCTTGCCTCACAATTGCCTTTTGTATTGTGATGCTTCTCTGAACTAGCTGTCGTTAAAAAAATAATACATGGCTGAAACACCCTAAATAACACTCAATTATGGTTGAAATGCAATTTTCAGAATGAACTTCATGCAGAATTTTCACTATCTATAAAAGTAAACATGATAAGTATTGTTGAAATCTTTTTATTAACATAACAAATAAAGTCTCATTCAGATAAGTTATGTCTCACATAATCACTGATACAATATGATGTAGTAACCAATTGTTGTCTAAGACCAATGACATCAGTTTTATCAAGTCGAATGCGTCACATTTGGCTCAGTAATGTCGCTATGTAATGACATCATATTATATGCATATAATCGCTGTACAGGTGGCAAAATGAGCTGGACAAATATTTTTGATAACAGATTTCAAGTATTTTGATAAGACGACATCCCCTCATATGTTCATTACTTAAAATGAAACCTATTCCTTATGGTCAAATTTCTATATTGCTTTAGAGGATTGGTTTCAGTCATTGGGGGAGTTGTTTGCACATAGCTTACTATGCTAATAACATGTTGAGAGGGTCCCTTATAGACAGTAATAGGCAGATTGCTTGAGGTGACTAGTTAATTACATTTTCAAACATTACTATTCAACATAAATGGATTTGATTGTAAAATATACTCTATGTGCTTTTACTTTCACTGTCAAAGGATAGGACATAACAAAAGGAGGGGATATTACTTAAATGTTGTTAGCAGGTAAGGATATGGTTTTATCATGAGGGAGGATAAAATATCTGAGTGTTCCGAGGAAAGAGGATGTAACCCATTTACAATTCTGATGTTTGTTTGACATTTTTATCTTATGATATCCAATGTATATTATTTTAGAATACCTATAGAATAATTGTTAGAGTTTTGACTTCTCATAATATTACATTTCACTCATCTTACAAAGTTGTAGAAGAATGGTTTATAACATTACGTTATTTATGTCATATTATTTTGATAATCATGACTATTAGGGGAATCCCCCTTAGGGGATGAATAGGTGTAATTCTTATACTTAAACATCCTTAATTTTTCATATTCCTTTCATGTAGTTTAATTGCCACTATGTTGATGCATTAGTTATTGATATCTAAGAATGGAATCATTGTTTTATTATATGTAAATAAGATGGGACAAAAATATATTCCATATGCTAGTCAACAGACAGTTTTACTATTAATTTACTGCTATGTTAATGGTATCAATGTTAACTCTCACAAATATTTATTTGTTTAGTTTCACCACACACACAAACACAGTTTTCATATGTGACATATGCATGCATATGTATGGACTTAAAAATTGTTGTTAAAATAATTTTTGAAGTTCACTTCCTCATTTACTCATAACACTAGGACTAAAATATCATGATTCAGGTAGAGGTTTTCTAATAAACTCACTTCCAATACTCCTACTATATTTTCAGTACTACAGTACATACATACATGTACATATATATATTACAGTATAGAAAATTATAGTTTCTTTGAATTAATCATATTCGCGCTAGTGTTTTCAGTTTTTAGAAATAGATAAAGAAATTTCTAAATGAAAGATTTTCGGAGAAGGATATACAGTTAGGTCATCATGGATATTTATTTATTTATTTCTCAGTTTCGAGAAATTTTGTTTATAAATTATTAAAGTTCCATTAAATGTCACTGTTCATCTTTTTGTTAATTATTTATTATTTCTGTTCTTTCAGATATTACGAAGAATTCTTAAATAGGAAATATACACATTCTGACAAAGTAAAGCTTAATTATACAATAGAGGGTTTCCCACTAAACCAACTAGATGACTTGGAAAATCCAAACTGCTGTAAATGAGAGAGTACTTGTACAAACAATATGGCAGAGAAACTCCAACGTTTGCAAAGCTTTGACGCAAGCATAAATCAAAAGGATGATCAGTCTAATAATATATTTGATGATACCTCAGGGCTGGAAAGTCAGGGATATGACAATGAGTTTGTCCCCCCTCTAGACCCTAAATATGAGTGTCCCATATGTCTGTCTGCCCTGAGGGATCCTTACCAGACGTCATGTGGACATAGATTCTGTAAAGGATGTCTCTTTAAGTGGATAAGGTAAGATATCCTTCTCGCATCAGAAAAAATATCAAATACTTGTATATCTATTCTTTGTAAAACAAAATGTTGAGAATTACAAATTTTCGATGCATTCATACATCTTCATCAGGTAAACTGATGTATTGTATTGTTTACCTGATGAAAAATTCATAAATCCCAACCTTTTGTTTTGCTTTCAACACTTATTAACATATTATTCTATGTAAGAAAAACATCTCATACTTGTTTTGGGTGTTAAATGTTTTTGTTAATATATGCTTACTTAAAAACAAATCAATTTGTTAAAGGGTTGAATTAAAGTTAATGAACTGTAGCTGTTATATAATAATACGTCTTCTGATTCAAAAATATCAGAGGTTCCTATAGATTGTGTTCAAGGCTTTACATAATACAAGAGAGTATCATTATTAGAATATATTACTGCGAAAATTATCTAGTCCAGAAATAGTTGATAATGCGCATTAGCCACTCCAATGAGTGGAATTGATATTATACCCATTTTTATTAAACAAAATATGGTGATGTCATAAGGTTATATGATGCACTATACACAATCTCTTCTATATTTTTATTGTCATATCATAGGTTGAGGTCATTGTCAATGCTGTGCAACAAACTACAGTAAAACCTGTTCTAGTATGTCTGAACACCTCTATATTCTGAACACCTCTCTATATGAACACCTCCCTATGTGAACACTTTCTCTCAGTCCCAATTTTGTAATCTACCATTGACAACCTTGTTAAAGGAATCTTAAGTTTGAGACCATTTTCCAATCCTTCATAGCATGATGTCATTCTTATAAATATACAACAATAGATACTCTCTGAGCGTGAATCAATAGTGGAGTGCATCATACTACAAGTAATTAGCAATAGCTGTTATATGTTGCATCTAGTCTATAGGAAATTAATTTTATCCACATCATAGTGGCTTGGCTGCATAGGCGAATTAACACAAATCAGGAAAAAACAAAACTATTTCAAGGAAATAAATATTATGATTTCATTTGAGTAAAACTTTTTGAACACCACCGGGGCTGCCAAAAAGTGTTCAAATTAATAGTGTTCATCTTTTAGTCTATTGCAGGTTATAAAAATACAACCCAAAAGTAGGCATTAGGTGAGATATTCTGATGAGGGAGTGGTTCGATAGGTTTTACTACATGCAATTAGGAACTTCTGTTGTGTGATATATTTTTTATTTTTTTATTTTCAGGGGAAAGGAGGCAGATTCGAGGTGTCCAATTGATAATGAAACCATGTCAGAAAACCAATTGTTTCCAGATAATTTTGCCAAACGAGAAATCATGTCATTAACGGTTAGGTGCTCAAATAGTAACACTGGCTGTGCTGAAGTTATCATACTGAAGAAACTACAGGTATAATTTTTTTGTGAAAATAAACGAGTGGGGGGGGTTTGGGTTGATATTTTAGATAAAATATAGTTAAAGGAGGGGCTGTGGGATGGGGTTAAGGTTAAACATAGGGATCAGGCTCAAGGTCATTTCAAGCTTATGGTTTCCTATGATTCATTTATTTTATTGTTTCATTATGACATGATATAGATAAAATAGCTATCCCTTAAGAGACAGAATTGAAACAAATGTACCATATTTTACATTACCTGTAAAAATGTCAAGTAGAAAGTACATAAAACTTTTTCTCAGAACTTATTGATCAACTTGGTATGTGTTTATCTTGTTTGATGGCAATGTATGTAATATGGTAATTTTGTAAATATTGATCTATCTGATATGTTGTACATGTATATTACTTATATTTTGAATAGAAAAGGATTTGGTTAACTTTTGGGCATCAAGATACTTCAGTTTTTAATGATAAATGATTCATTTAGTTGTACCAATATTGGAAATATCAGTTTCATAATGCACTGAAAATTGAAATTTCTGCTTTCAGGTGTTAAGTTATTGAATTCTTTATGAAAATCATATATTCATACACATGATTGCTTGTATTTTTAGAACCATCTTGAGTCTTGTCCATTTTCCTGCAAGCCGTGTCCAAATCAGTGTTCCGCTATCTTGTTACGTCGGGACATGCCCAGACATTTGGCAGAGGAGTGCATACGCAGACTCATACGCTGCAATGCGTGTAAAGATAAGATCATCTTTGAAGAATACAAGGTTTGTTCGTGTATCTATATATTGAAAGACAATAATGGAGAAGTTTCCTCTAATGCTAAATCTGAATAAAAAATAGTCTTGCCCGCCATATTCCAAGGGTCAATGAAGAATTACCCAATTTCATGAGATTGTGAATACGACTTTAGTTAGTGGAATACAAGCTATATCTAGTGCATACATGTAACTCCATCTCTTGGCCAATAAACACATGTTTATGAAGTATTGGAGAAGTTACACCGTCACATTCATGCATAAATATTAATTTAGAGTTGAATAAAAATTGATGAACTATATTTTAGGCTCATAAAGATGTATGTCCAATGGTCCAAGTACGTTGTACTCATTGTGACGTGTCACTGACTAGAGAGCAGATGCAGAGACATTTAGAGTTGGACTGCCCCAGAGCCATCATTAACTGCACATTCTCAGTTGTGGGCTGTGAAATAAAGGTACAGTAGTGGTCATTTTTATGTGATTATTGTCAGGAAGTGCATGATAAAATATGTAAAATTCAGTTTGCATCTTATTTGGTCAAATAATGGTGGCAGACATAATTAAATGTCTAATATATTCTATTTCACTGTCATGCCCTAATATTTGGAAAAGTTTTGGAAATAGTAAAACTTTTCTAATTTGATATGTTCAAATCTATGTAAAGGTATAGCAGTGTCACTTTTTTGCTGGCAAAACTATATTCCAATAAATACAAATTGCTAAGAGGTTGCTAGGAGATGGTTCAGCATGCCTATATTTGGACATTCATCCATATCATGTTTCGTCTTATCTATGTCTTGAGAGTAAAAATATTTCCATTTTCAGATGGAGAGGAGCTCTCTGGCCCTTCATATGCAAGAGTATACCCAGCCTCATCTTCGTATGCTCGTCACTTCATTTGGTGACGTCTTGAAAGTTCTACACTCCCAAGATAACTCCAAAATAGCGCCATTGGAGTTGCCTTCTGTCGATCCGTCATCTGAACACCCTCATCAATTCAAACGAATGAACAGCCAAACTAGTGTTAAAATACGGGAAATTGAAGAAATGTATGATTCATCGAATTTCCATAAAGGGAATAGTGTACAAAATCGCCACAGTACTGGAGCTATTAGTATGGGTGGTGGAGGCGGTGGAGAAGTTAGTATGGTAGAGTTTGCGACTTTGAAGGAGCGTAATACTTACCAAGATGAGAAGCTCCAAACACAATCTCAACAAATAATTGAACTTTTAGCGAAGAATAGCAGTCTAGAGAAAGTCGTACTGGATCAGAAAAAACGGCTTAAGGAATTGGAATATCGAGTACATGATAATGATGCCAGAAGTTGTAATGGTGTTTATGTCTGGAAGGTAAATAATTATTCGCACTTGCGCCATGAGGCCCAAAGTGGCGAGACTACAGTGATACATAGCCCAGGATTTTATACTAGTTACTATGGTTACAAATTGTGTGTGAGAATGAACCTGAATGGCGTTGATAATGCCCACGGCACGCATCTGTCCATATTCATTCATTTCATGCAGGGGGAGTATGATTTCATGTTGGATTGGCCATTTAATGGAAAAATTACTCTCTCTATAATGGATCAGTCTGAAGTATGTGAATTGCGACAAAATGTCACGGAAACCTTATCATCAAAATCAAATCTGGCAGCTTTCCAAAAACCTGAAACCATCAGAAATCACAAGGGATTCGGCTACATGGAATTTGCTCCATTGTCTCTGCTTGAAAATGGACGATATATTAAGAATGATACATTAGTTGTTAAGGCAGAGGTGCATCCTGAGCCACATCGGTGACATGGGGAACCTTAAATCCTGGAAATGTTGATGTGATAATCACATATAAGAGAAAAGGATTATAGATGATGACTTGGGTTGCTTATTCTACCATAATTTTTATTTTATCATTTGTGATTTGAAACTGTTTTCTGTCTGGAAATCCAAATGATTCACTAATATCTGTTTAATTCTGGATTTTGAAATATTGACAGAGTGATCATTTCGATAGGATGAATAAGTAATGCTAGTTAAATTGAAAAAATAACAATATTGGAATTCATCTACACGCTTATATGGAAATGGAAATGGAATGTGTGAAACCCTTTCCATAAATGGTTCCAAAATGAATGTGTAAAACACTTTCCCATATATGGTATCATATGGAATGTGTAAAACACTTTCCCACATATGGTAGCAAATGGAATATGTTAAACCCTAAGCCTTATATGGTATCAATTATCAAATGGAATGTGTAACCCTTTCCCATATATGGTATCAAATGGAATGTGTTAAACCCTCACCCTTATATGGTATCAATTATCAAATGGAATGTGTGAAACCCCCCATTGATCACTTTCGGTGATAAGACAGAGAACTCAGGTAATTTAACCACTGTTTTGTAATATATTTACTCTTAGGGGCTAGCTCAAATATCAATCGCAATTCATTTAGTAGAATGAAGCATGAACATATGTAAACATTCATTTGAAACGTCTAGGAATTTAAGTGGCTGCAGAAGTCTAAGAATACACATTAATGGTCATGTAAAGCTAAACAATACTTGAACAAAGGGTATGTGCTCGTGCATTATTTGATTATTTCATCATATTTGTGAATAAAAACTTTTGATATTTTGAACTAGCCCCTTTGATTTATGAAGGTATTGTTCTATAAATATCTTTTATTGACCCTCAAATGTCATGGTATAATAATATATTCATCAATTCAAATTAAATCTATTATACTGCACAACACAATGATAGCCTTACCTTTGATTGTCTCATGAATAGCATATATGGCATATATGATATTATAATATAATGGATTTTGAAACCTTGAAACTTTAAAAGATACAGAGTGAAAGAAAAAATGCAATCCTCTAATTTTGGAATAACTTTTTTCAATAATAATGGCATATTGTTGAATTTTTGTGACACACTATATTCAGAGAAAAATGTTTTCCTTTGAGGCATGTATCGATGTCTTTACTATTATTCGAGGCATCTGCATAACTTTCATACATATTATCAATATCCTTAGACTAATCCTTAGAATATTCATTGAGCATTCTATTCACACAAGCAAATTTAAGAACATTTTATCATAATTGAGAGTGTTCCAAAATTGCATTTTTTGTCTCAACCTGTAGAAATATCTGTCCAGAGAGGGACCTACTACATAATCATGTAAACAATGGAAGTTATTCACTTTTTTCAAGTTTCTCATTTACTTCATTATTTTGGATGATATCTAAATACATGTAATAATTTGTGAATAAATTATGAAATTATTTACACTTTATATCATTTTGTTATGTTGGTCAAAGCAGGTGGTTCGAAAATAAGAGATCCACGTTTGAATATTTAAAATGCAAAAGGGAAATAACTTTGTTTTCACAAATGATAAAAACATGTTTTCAAACTTAATATGCGACCTTTAAGTGTTCAAGGAACAAAATTAAGATTCAACATTGACAGTCTTTAATATGATATCCAATAAAAACTCTCGGTTGTCAAACTTATGGAGGGGAGTGTACATCGAGTGAACCTTTGAATTCATTTATATTAATTCAATTAATCTGTCTTATTTCTGTTAATGTGGTCAGTCATTTTTAGGTTTTTAGAATCACTTCCTGGAAGGAGCTATTTTAAATGTTTTACAAATGAAAACATGCAGTCATAAAATGTACATATTTCCTCTTCAAACTTTAGGACTGCAAAATGTAACATATCATACTTACAACAAAATATATAATGTTCACTCATTTTCTTTATTCATTTAGCTAGTAAATATCTCGCAAAATATACATAATACATTAATATATAAGTTCAAATCAACAATTAGAATATTTTATCATCCATGCAAAAGTCGAAGCCATAACTTGTTCAGTTATCAGTAATGTTTTAAAAATATTTCAAAAGAAATATATTTGACTTTTAAAATACATTTATTCTAGCTATGCCAAGTATCATATATAACTTTAACTTATCACCAAGTCACCTATATATTCCAGTGACATAAAAACACCTATAAACCTTATTTTTCATTGCATAATGGACTTCCCTGTAAATAGCATGGTATACCATGTCAAGCAACATTAAGTTATAAAATATAACACTAAGTTATAAAATACAATGTAAAAGGCACTTACATGACAAAATGTCACCAAATGGTTACACAAAGTATTTAGTATAATATAGAGTTTTAAATATTTTTTCAACCACTAGTGAAAGCCCCTTAAACTTCAGTCACATTTCCTCTATGGCGGCCATAGCTTCACAAAATCGATATAGAAAATCTTCATCGTACTGCTTATCCTTATATTTTATGTTTCATAATTCTCTCTATTTTTGGAAGCTATATATGGTTGCTATAGATCATATGTGACTGAGGCTTTAATTGGATGCCATGGCAACCATCATTGCCTAAACTCTGAAGATTTCTGTAATATATAACATGCCTATCTATAGGTGATCTCTGTATGATATTCACTTATGTTGCAAATGCTCGAATTGTTTGGAGTCCCATAATTCATCACCATTGAAACAGATATTGACAAAAATCTAAATGCATTCATTGTATTTATTTCAAGTTAAGGTAACCTTAAGTTCAGTTAGCTCAGTACTCAAATAAGTCAATGTTGTTACAAAAATATTAAATGTTCTCAAAATCCCCAAATATATTGCCATGGTAACAGAAAAAATCAAAAAATCACGTGGTCATAGTAATGGCACAATTTCAAGTCAAAATAATCAAAAAATTTTAATTTATTGCATATACACCAACGCTGAATGCCAAACGCAAAAATGGGGCATAACAGCATATCACCCCTTTTTACATATTTACAGCATAATCAATCTTATCTACTATGCTTATTTTTATTGTGCGTTAATATTAGTAAAAGCATATATTCTTATTGCTTGTAATTACATCCTTGAGTATTTAATACCAACAAACCTACTAACTATAAATATTTATAGAATAAAATATTACAAATCTGGTTTTTATATTTTATATTACATGAGTCATCACAGTAATCTCAATTGCATCAGTTTTTTGTTATTTATATCAATCTCCAAAATACAATATACTGTAGTTCATCTTTAGTTATGTATATGGTATTGACCTATTTATAAAAATAAATTACCATATGATATGCAGGATTTATCACATGATTTTCTTTACAATTAATTTTTGAAACTTTTTTTATTGATATCACCACACATATTGGTGTGATTGTGATATCCCCTAATGTAGCAATATCATTGTTATCCTGAGGGAAATATATGTATCACTCCCAAGGGAGTGCAAAAACCTACCATATACAACAAAACATACCTATAAAAAAGTTTTGTTAGTAAAATAAAATCCTATTTTTTCAAAAGTTCATAATTATAAAATCACTAAAATACCTAACATTTCAAATTATTGCTTTTTGAATTCAAATAAATGCTTCATTTTAAAATACAGCAGCATCACTGGCTGTGGTTCTATTTATACCCTGGTAAAAATATTCTGGAATGTACACTACTAGATAAAGTATGTGGCATGCTTTCTAGTGAGTATACAACATGAATGCTATCATCTGACATGCTTTCCTCTATGTGTCCTGCAATTTGACATGCTTTCTTCTAAGTGCCCTGCGATTTGACATGCTTTCTTCTATGTGCCCTGTGATTTTACATGCTCTCTCTTATGTGTGCTGAATTTGACATGCTTTCACTTATATTCATTAAAATTTGACATGCTTTCACTTATATGCACTACAATTTGACATGCTTTCACTTATATGCATTACAGTTTGACATGCTTTCTCTTATATGCACTACAATTTGACATGCTTTCACTTATGTGCACTACAGTTTGACATGCTTTCACTAATATGCATTACAGTTTGACATACTTTCTCTTATATGCACTACAATTTGACATGCTTTCACTTATATGCATTACAGTTTGACACGCTTTCTCTTATATGCACTACAATTTGACATGCTTTCACTTATGTGCACTACAGTTTGACATGCTTTCACTAATATGCATTACAGTTTGACATACTTTCTCTTATATGCACTACAATTTGACATGCTTTCACTTATATGCATTACAGTTTGACACGCTTTCTCTTATATGCACTACAATTTGACACGCTTTCTCTTAAATGCAGTGCAACTAGACATGCTTTCTCTTATACAAAATGTATGCACTACAATTTGACATGCTTTCACTTATATGCACTACAGTTTGACATGCTTTCACGTATATGCATTACAGTTTGACATGCTTTCTCTTAAATGCACTACAATTTGACATACTTTCTCTAAATGCAGTGCAACTAGACATGTTTTCTCTTATATGCACTACAATTTGAAATGCTTTCTCTTACATGCAGTGCAACTAGACATGCTTTCACTTATATGCACTACAATTTGGCATGCTTTCTCCTATATGCAGTGCAACTAGACATGCTTTCACTTATATGCACTACAATTTGACATGCTTTATCTTACATGCACTACAATTTGACATGCTTTTACTTATATGCATTATAGTTTGACATGCTTTCTCTTATATGCACTACAATTTGACATGCTTTCTCTTAAATGCAGTGCAACTAGACATGCTTTCTCTTATATGCACTACAATTTGATATGCTTTCTCTTATATGTAGTGCAACTAGACATGCTTTCACTTATATGCATTACAATCTGACATGCTTTCTCTTATTTGCACTGCAATTTGACATGCTTTAACTTATATGCACTGCAATTCAACATACTTTCTCTTATATGCATTACAGTTTGACATGCTTTCACTTATATGCATTACAATTTGACATGCTTTCTCTTATTTGCACTGCAATTTGACATGCTTTTAAGTGATGAGTTTTCTCAGATCCACTGCCTGACTACCAGTTGCATAATTTTCCAGAGATAGAATAATATTGGAATTCATGACCAGCATATTATTTGATAAACATATTTACTAAAGGAAGGAGTTTCGTAATGGGATATTCATTTCAGAAAGGTGAACACTTCAGTCATTGCCTTAAAAATTGTTCTACTTTGGGATATCACCGGTGATGAGATGGTTAATTTTAGAAATGTTCACTTAGCTCTTCAGTTTGACAACGTTTCAGTTAGAAGGCACTAAAAGGCACTATGAGGGAGGATAAGCTAGCTACCTGATTTAAGAAAATTTGTATGTGAATATGGAATATTGAAACTCCCAATGATCAATGAATTAATCCCAAGAGAATCAGAATTCTACACAAGATTCACAAACAAGTTCTTTTACAAATGTGTAGGTAACCTCCCTAGTATTAGATGGTTCTACTGTAGCAATTAGCTATGTGTCCGGTTGTAGCTACATTTCAGGTTCTCCCAGGTCTACATATCCCATCTGTTTGAATATTGCAGCAAGCTGTGGGTAAACACCTGGGTCTTCAATGCTTGCAGGAACCTGAAACAATACGAGGAAATGGTTATGGGTTGTGAATATATGGGTTGTGATTATATGGGTTGTGATTATATGGGTTGTGAATATATGGGTTGTGATTATGGGTTGTGATTATGTGGTTTTTCCATGATTTTTCCATTCTCATAGAAAATATGAATTAAGTTAAGCACCTGGATATCATTGAATAAATTACTACACCCATTCATGGAAAGCTATATTTATCAATAATGTCAGTAGAATCATAAATAAAATAATTCGCTTTGAAAAAACAATATGATACATTATGCATTTTACAAATTGTATTTATGCTTTTGTATCGTTCCAACCCTGTGTGCTTATTAGATGCCCCAATATCTGATTTTCCCAAGATCAAGAATTTGTTGCCATGGAAACCCTTCAATTATAATCAACAAAAGTGACACTTCCTGTGGTCCATAACAGTGTAAATTAAGAAATAAATGTTGAAACAAATGTGATATAAGAATTCAAAATAAAGTGTTTAAAGATAAAGAAATAAAAAATACTACACCCCAGTACACCAACTAGGGAACATTATCATGGACCTAAGCCAGGCATGAGCTGAGGCAGGTAAGACAACTATCTCACCAAATTTTCACCAAAAAAAATTACTCAGACCATTTTTTACCCAAATTTAAATATAATGTCATACCCCTGATATTATGATTGAGGAAAAGTTTCTTCAAAGCCAGTTGGCTTGAGGTTTTTGTTATATGGCTCTGAAGGAACCATTTAGTCCTTTTATTGACATTAAGGGACAATTTGCCCAAGGTGTCAGTACAGCATTCCAAATTTTAATTTAAAAATAACAGAAGCTTGTTTTATGTCAAACAACCAAAATAAATAGCAAAGACTGAGACGAGCTATGTTAAAGGCAGAATCAAATCTATAGGAAGTGACAAAATTGCAACAACACAAACTGTTACCGATGTCTTCCTCTCAAAATACCTCCCAAAAGATCCCCAATATCTGATACTACCTTTAAATGTAAATCAAAATATAGCGTTCAAGCTAGGAAGGTGATGACATTTATTGTTCATTGAAAAACATTTGTGACATCATATAGAATACTTTGGGCTGGTTTACTCCATATATACTACATATGTTATTGAAGCTTCCTAAAAGTATTCTTGCACCAGTGACATTTTTATCTATGTAAATTCTGAAATAAAATCTGAAAGGACATTTAAAGAACAGAAGGGATAGAGAGTGTAAATATTTGGAAACATTTTCTAAAATCATCTCAGTCATCCTGATTTTATTTTCTGAAGTAGAGTTATCTGATCAACAATAAATTGAAAGATTTCAAAATTCAACATACAGAAATGCCCAAATTGAATTCTAAATTGAAAATTAGGGCCTCTACATTTTCAAATTTTGTCAGTTCTCCTAATTAAAATCAAAAGATTGAACCCTGAAGTAAATTCTGAACTGTTAACTCATTGCTGGCCAAAGCCATTTTGGTGACTGGCCATTTTGATGAAAAATAGAGCAAAATGGCATGTTTTCATATATAGCATAAAATGGACTGAATCAACAACCCCTTTGCCATGTTTTATGCAATCATGAATCCAATGACAATATATTTCAATTGTTAAATGAGTTAAACTAAAGCAAAAAAATTAAATCTTGACAATATTTTCGAAACCTACTTTCAACCATCTCTATCCCTTCTACTTCCTCTAAGTAGTCAAACTTGGTAGAGTTACATATAAGCTGATACAACAGTGTTAACTCTATCCACATGCCACATGCCTAAAGTTAAGCAGTTAAAAGGGGGAAACACTATACCAACACACCAAGTCCCTCGCTCTAAATCATCGAAGCTCTTACATTGAATGTATGCAAATACACACAGCAAGCGTAATACCACTTAAGCAAAAGCTAGGAGAAATTACAACGGACCATTTATTGTTTATAATGGCTTTCCGGGGTTGATCCCAATGGTTTCTATTGCTATGGCAACTTCTGCATATACCCTGGGATCCTCGATGGTAACCGGAATCTATGAGAAACAAAATCAAAAATCAACATTTGGGGATTTTATGAATTACGTGTAAAAACACAGATATATGGTGAAACATTTTCAATATCAATATAGGGGGATTTTATGTATAACATAAATGCCAACAAAACACCATTAGAGTTCCTTTAGTGAGGTCATATGGATCATATCAGTCCCAAAACTGTAATTTTCTTCAAGACCTCCAAAGTGTTGAATTATAATGCAAGTGTTTGGTTCTTACGGAACCAAACTTGTTAACCCTTAAGTTCAAATACATCCACTTACTTTAAATGATTTACCAGATGCCATTGATGCTATTGTGTTTCGTGCCACTTTGCCAGATCGTGTTTTAGGGAGCCTAGGCACTATAACTGCTTGTTTGAAGGCTGCCACTGGGCCTATATGATCTCTTACACATTGGACAACTTCCTTTACTATATCAGTACTATGCTTCTTGGTACCTGTAAATATATGTTAAAATATGGAGTCCCACTGGAATTATAAAATAATATCATTCATTGCTTGAAAAAATTGAATGGCAAATACATGTAGCTTGAACAATATTATAAGTTATCTCGATATTCTGTATTGGCACTCGACTTCATCTCGTTCCAATACAGGATTTCTCAACCAGAATATATCCTGTATTGCACTTCAAATCATTCAATAACGTTTTTATCGTGCGCCGGAGATGATCAACGGGAACAATCTCAGTAGCAATACAGATTGGTACAGCACAAGAACTGTCCAATCAGAGGGCTTCATTTTACAGATCATACGATAAGTCAGGTTACATTAACATCATGATACGATAATTGGCATTTCCCGCCAATTCACCTATAATCAAAGCAATGAAAGCTAATTTGCTAGATTCTTGAGTTATTATGCACATAATTGGTTGATGCCAATTTCCTGAAAGTGAGGAGTTCAGGTTATGAGATTTATACTGGCCAGTTTGCTTTGAACAGAACTTGTTCTCTCATAAGTTTCTAAATGGTATTGGATCAAGCCTATATCACCTGCATGGATGGATGGTACATACCTGATTTGACTACACACAGTCCCAGGGGCACATGTCCCTTGAGAGTATCAGGAACTCCTACAACCGCAGCTTCTGCAAGGTCTGGGTGTTCCAACATAGCCTGCAGTGAACAATCAAATATTGAACTATAGACCTTGGGCATGGAGGGAGGTGACAGATGAACTGGAGATGGTTAAAGTAACATGCTCAATCTTAAATCTAATAAAATTTAACAACCTTCTCAATATGATGATGATTTTGAAATAACTAACCTCTTCTAATGCACCAGATGATAATCTATGGCCTGCCACATTGATGACATCATCAACACGTGACATCACAGCAATATTGCCTTCTTTGTCAATGAAACCAGCATCCGTTGAATCATAATATCCCTGAAATCATTATACCCTTGAAATCACAATAGCCTGAAATCATAAGATGACTTAAATCCAAAATCCCTGAATTGATAATACTGAAAATCATACATCACTGAAATTATAACACCTCTTAAATCATAAAGTACCTTCAATCACAATATTCAAAAAACAATTAAACTTCTGAAAACACAAAATCCTAAAACCATAATATCCCTAAAAATCAAAATACACCTGAAATCACAATAGCCTTGAAATCAAAACAGAACTGAAATCAAAATAGAAATCATAATATATAACTCCTAAAAACAGCAGATTCAATCCAAGAAAAACCTGAGATATCCATATAATTATATGAGCTTGAAAATCTTTGTCTATTATGAAATGGGTTTTATAATATACTGTATCAAACAATTGTTTCTTTTTGGTAATCAAATAAATCATTGTGAACTATTGGACTTACTGGAAAGGTTTTGAAGTAAGCACTTAAGAACTTCTCATCATTTTTGTACAAACCAGACATGGCACATGGTGGTAAGGGAAGTCTGAAATAAAGAAAGATAAAAGCACCTAATTAGAGTAAAACATATGTTATGTCCAAACATCTTACTTATCCTTATTATGTTGAAATGGCTGTTTATTAAATAACTCCAAAAAGTGCAGAATCGACGTTATCAAATCTACTAAAAATTGAAATAGGAAATGTACTTTTAAAATGAATATTGTACAATTCATCTCATATATCAAGATTAATGGCAAAAATGATAAAGCCTCTCGTATCCAAGGGTCTGGATGACAATATCCGTGAAGAGGGATGCAAACATGACATAGGAAATATGTATTCAGAAATAGACCAAAAGTTCTTACTTTGCTACAATGATGCCTAGTTCATCTACATCACATTCTGTCATGTCTTGTCTGAGCACCTTGACTAAAAGGAATGAATAAAAATAATTTTACATAACCATCATAGCCCTTATAAAAAATTCAACCTTGAAAGTCCGAATTTAAACCGTTTCCATCAATCATTGAATACTGATTGTTTCAACTACTAAGATCAAAGGAAAAACCATTGTACAATGATAAGCAATCATTGTGCAACCATTGCATTCAACCAAGCAAAGTCAACTCTTTTTCAACGACTGCGCAACCATTTCTATACAATCATTGTAATCTGCAACCATTGCAAACTGCAACCATTTCACATTGAAATGTAAACGGTTGCAATATGTTTTGTTCAATGATTACATAGTTCAACCCCTGCAACCATCCTGAATTAGTATCATTCCAATAAAATAATCATTTTACCTGAATTAAAATTATCTTTAAGTAAGGATTTGAATCTACCTCTATTCAACAACAGTATATTAGGATATTTTTTCTTCAAGCATACATGCATGTTTATTATAGTAAATTACTAAATTCATGTTCATATGTTTCTTTCTCCAGTACAGATTTAGGAATGCGATACCAGACTAGTTTTCCACTCAATGGCATATGATAATTTATGTTCCCTGTCATTTACATTAATAACACAATTAAAAGTACCATATCTAGTGTTTATTTCCCTTTATCTGATATTGCCAAAATGATGTATCTTTAATGTTAATTATGAAAAGAATTTAGCAAAATTCCAATTTTGTTAAGAAATTGACCAAGGAAAATCTTAAGATTTCCTTTAAACTTAACAAAATCACAAGATGAGACACAATGGTTTTTGTTCATGATCAGACTAATATATGATCAAAAGAAGCAGGATATGATGTACAAAATAATGCAAACATATGTAATCACAAGTAATAATGCATTCAGGCAGCAAAGACTTAATTTTTACAGTTTCAATTGGAAAACATCTGAATTAATAATTTCAAGTAAAATTTTGTCGAGGTAGATGAATTATTGCTACACCCATGATATATAAATAGATTGGTATGGGAACATATTGATATCGGAGGGTTTAGCTTAGGACCCCCACAAAAGTTTATATACAATGAACATGCTAGTAGCCAGCCCCCCTCAGCAAAATGGGTCTTCAAATGTTTCCATGTGTAGTTCACACCTAATATCAAGAGTATGACTCACTAAAATTTGAAAAATACAAACAAGAGAACTATTTTGATATTGACTGTATATTATGTGTGAAACACATTATTCACAACAGATTTAATTACTATGTTCTTTCTTGGCAAATATTTTTTATAACAATGCTCAACACAACAATACCTACTACATATTGATATTCTCATGGGTTTAGGCAAATCAAAATGCTTGAACAGCCAATTAAAACGGTTGAACAGCTAATTAAAACAGTTGAACAGCTAATTAAAACGGTTGAACAGCTAATTAAAACGGTTGAATGGCTAATTAAAATGCTTGACCAGAAAAAGGGTCCATAGTCCTAGTTTCTGTTATATCTATTTTCATCTTGTGTTATACTATATTACTATATATTTATTTTTATTCTCTATTTCATGCAGAGGGGGGGGGGGGGGTGTTAGTGTTTTTAGATTTTTGAGGGTTTATTTCTTTATTCAATTACTTCAATAAGTGTTGAGAAATCTCAAATAGCAAGTATATGAAACTGCAAATAATATTTTCAGATTTTTTTTATTTCATTTTTATTTAGTTTGTTTTACCATGGGTATTGAATAGATTGAAAGTCCATGGTTTTACTGTATTCACTAGAGCAGAGCATTTGTACTGAAAAGTGTTTTCAGTTTAAATAATAAGTGTTAAAGATTAAAAAATAAAAACCAAAAACAGGGCTTATTTTTCAAAACTCTAAACTTTGAAAAATCTGGAGGAAAATCTGGGAGATTTTCTTTGGCAAATTATTTATCAGGTTCTGTGTATGAAATAATTAAATTACATAGGATGCTTCCTTTATAGCAGACTCTAATCAAACTGAGAGTCTCTCTGTATTAAGGTTTGTTTTGCTTTGCCAAATTATTTTTGTTTTGTTTATGGATTAATGGATTAATAAAGTTTCTTTAGACACATCCTGAGACTGAGTCTAACTGTAATCAGAGTTTTTTAAGTTATGTTTATCGACTTAATTATCTAAAACACATCCTGTAATGTCTGATTGCATTTTCTCTATCAAATCTAAAATATCAAATCAATAAACAGATTATTTTCCGATTGAAGGATTTCTTACTTCCAGATACATCTTCCTTCCTTCCTTTATAATTGTGATGATTACAAGGTGAAGCGTAAATTCCAAGACTTGACCCAAGCAAAAAAATGTCAAATGTTTTTGCAATAACTTATAAAGTTTTGAAGGGATTTTGTAAAAATGATAGTCATGACAGCGAGGGGATTTAAGTTAGGTTCAATATATTTTCATTCACAAGACAAGTTTACTAAACTATTTCAGTACTTCATTACTTTAATCAACCCATTTTAATTCTGACATGTATGCATGAAATACATACATTTGAAATATATTTTTTAAAGAGCAAGATAATTATTTTATGTTGTATTGAGATAATATTGCCATAGTTTCAAAGGGTTGCATTCGATTGAAATGGTTGCAAGAAATGCAACCAAAATTGTCAAGTGTTTACAATGGTTACATATGATAGAAACATTTTCAATGAGTTTACAACCAAAATTGTAATGGTTGCATCGTAACGGTTGGCATGGTTGCATAAATGATCGGATCAATGATTGTACAATGATTGTGCAACGGTTTAAATTCGGACTTTCAAGGTTGAATTTTTTATAAGGGTGCGCTCCAACCATGAATAACCACCTTGTCCATGGAATGATGGACAGCGAACATAATTTGGTGAGGAGAAATATATAATACTTCATTTGTTCAACTTTTATTCACAATTTATTTACTTCATTTATGTTGAATTCAGGTAGTTTGTAAATAAATGTGATCTATAGACGTAGTAGAAGGTTTTTAAACATACTGTTCCACCCTGGCACAGGTTTGCCTGCAACTCCAGCTGGTGGATATGGGTTGTTCCCCAACCCCATGTTAGAGCATGTTATTGCAGAGCCTGTCTCTAAAACACATAAACCGTAATGTACAATAAATTAAAGACACTTAAATATTTTTCTTGCCATCTACATGACATGGATGTGGTATTTTTTAAACATAATATCCAACAATACATTTTGTACAATATTCAAGCCAATGAGATAAATATTAGTTTAGTCGTGGCCATGGGCCCGCAGTGCCTGCCTGCATGCATATTCGACATGACAAAATGACAATAGTGCGATAAATTTAAGGTGAATTTTTCCCCATGATGAATTAGATCATTCTGTGACTTTATAAGATTACATACCAGTCTGCCACCAGTGATCTATAACAGGTTTCTGTAGTGTATCTCTAGCCCATTCCAGTGTCTCGTGATCACAATGTTCACCAGCTAGGTAAAGTTCTCGGAAACTACAAATCAATCATATATCATACACTATTATTCTTGAATGCATTACTATTTAGCGGTTTACAAAAACACTTGAAAATACCTCTCCTTCAAAATTGTTTATTAAATCAGCTGCTACATGTAAATCTTACATTTCATCAAGTGTACTCTATTTTGAAAAAATGTGATAAAGCTTTCAGCAATAAATGAAGCATTTATTATTGTATAACTCAGGGGCTTAGCCAGCAAATTGTCAGGGGGAGGGTGTGTTTTTTTGCGCTCGCAACACGTTTAGAATTTAATCTAATGTACGTGTATTGTTGCACTGGATTTTTATCATTGTGCCACTATTTGACACTATATGCCTGCAATACATTTTAATACTTACTGGCCAAGAAAGTATTTCTTCATGTAAGCACCCTTGGGGTCTTCTCTACGTATAGCTCTCAGAGCAGTAGGGGCAGTAAACATGGCCGCAACGCCATGGTCATGGATCACTCGCCAATATGTGCCTGGGTCGGGGGTACCAACTGGCTTACCCTTAAAAAGACATTGCTATTTTGAGAGAAAAGGTTGAATCTGATACATGCACTTTAACTGTAGATGATAAATTGTAAGTCTGCTCAATGATTACCATTATCGTCGTAACTGTTACATAACATTTAATTATAACTTCATTCTTTCTGCAGAACAACTGTGGCAGAATAGAGTCTATAAACCAAATTGTAATATGTTACATACACTATATGTAATTTTCTTGGCTTATAATCAAACATCACACCATAAAATTCTGAGACAAAAATAAATAGTCTTACCTCAAATAAAACTGTGGTGTTGCCATGCAATAAAGGAGCATAGCATATGTAGGAATGACCCACTACCCAACCAAGATCAGAACCAGAGAACCAGACCTGCATACAAAGAAAATAAGTTTTAAATCTTTCAGAGTTTAACATTTATGGCTCTACCATTTCTATGATTCAATTCATCTTGAAATACATTCCTAAAAAATTCAATCTGACATTTTGATGAGCTTTACATTTTTAAATGACATATACTTTTAGAGCTTTATATAGTATACTGTAAAGAAAAGATTTCTTAATGTACATGCTATCAGGTAGTGCTGATCTTTAATGAAATCTAAAGTACAACAAGTACCTCTCCTGGCTTTATGCCATATGAGTTGAACATGCTCCAGTATAACACAACAGCATGTCCCCCATTGGGCCGAATTATAGCCTGTAAGAATAACAAACATTTCGTAAAGAGTGGTTGGAAGGGGGGTATTAGACATTGTTTCTTTACACATAAGTTCATTGTTTGGGATATTTGGGTTTATTTTCATTATGACTTGTTCTCTTAAACTTTTAATTTGCCTGCTCTGTTTTGTAATATTTTTTAGTAGTCTTTTACCATTGGCACTTGTGCAAACATATTTTAAAGACAATGAATGAAGTTGAACTAAAAGAAATCAGACAGTAGGTGTTATCATACATTTAAACATTCAAACATAAAATAGAGTCATATTTGCATACAATAGGTGAAAACTATACCTTCGGAGTCCCTGTAGTTCCTGATGTATACAGGAGATATAGCGGATCTGTGGCAAGTACAGGGACACAATCGTGTGGTTTGGAGGCACTCACTACAGTACGTGTTACACTAATAGAGTCATATTTGCGTACAATAGGTGAAAACTATACCTTTGGAGTCCCTGTAGTTCCTGATGTATACAGGAGATACAGCGGATCTGTGGCAAGTACAGGGACACAATCATGTGGCTTGGCAGCACTAACTACAGTACGTGTTATACTAATAGAGTCATATTTGCATACAATAGGTGAAAACTATACCTTTGGAGTCCCTGTAGTTCCTGATGTATACAGGAGATATAGCGGATCTGTGGCAAGTACAGGGACACAATCATGTGGCTTGGAGGCACTCACTACAGTACGTGTTATACTAATAGAGTCATATTTGCGTACAATAGGTGAAAACTATACCTTTGGAGTCCCTGTAGTTCCTGATGTATACAGGAGATATAGCGGATCTGTGGCAAGTACAGGGACACAATCATGTGGCTTGGCAGCACTCACTACAGTACGTGGTATACTAATAGAGTCATATTTGCGTACAATATATGAAAACATACCTTTGGAGTCCCTGTAGTTCCTGATGTATACAGGAGATACAGTGGATCTGTGGCAAGTACAGGGACACAATCATGTGGCTTGGCAGCACTCACTACAGTACGTGTTATACTAATAGAGTCATATTTGCGTACAATATATGAAAACATACCTTTAGAGTCCCTGTAGTTCCTGATGTATACAGGAGATACAGTGGATCTGTGGCAAGTACAGGGACACAATCATGTGGCTTGGCAGCACTCACTGCAGTACGTGTTATACTAATAGAGTCATATTTGCGTACAATAGGTGAAAACTATACCTTTGGAGTCCCTGTAGTTCCTGATGTATACAGGAGATACAGTGGATCTGTGGCAAGTACAGGGACACAATCGTGTGGTTTGGAGGCACTCACTGCAGTACGTGTTATACTAATAGAGTCATATTTGCGTACAATAGGTGAAAATATACCTTCGGAGTCCCTGTAGTTCCTGATGTATACAGGAGATACAGCGGATCTGTGGCAAGTACAGGGACACAATTGTGTGAATCACTCACTACAGTATGTGTTATACTAATAGAGTCATATTTGCGTACAATAGGTGAAAACTATACCTTGGGAGTCCCTGTAGTTCCTGATGTATACAGGAGATATAGCGGATCTGTGGCAAGTACAGGGACACAATCGTGTGGCTTGGCAGCACTAACTACAGTACGTGTTATACTAATAGAGTCATATTTGCGTACAATAGGTGAAAACTATACCTTCGGAGTCCCTGTAGTTCCTGATGTATACAGGTGATACAGCGAATCTGTGGCAAGTACAGGGACACAATTGTGTGGAGGCACTCACTACAGTACGTGTTATACTAATAGAGTCATATTTGCGTACAATAGGTGAAAACTATACCTTCGGAGTCCCTGTAGTTCCTGATGTATACAGGAGATACAGTGGATCTGTGGCAAGTACAGGGACACAATCGTGTGGCTTGGCAGCACTCACTACAGTACGTGTTATACTAATAGAGTCATATTTGTGTACAATAGGTGAAAACTATACCTTTGGAGTCCCTGTAGTTCCTGATGTATACAGGAGATACAGTGGATCTGTGGCAAGTACAGGGACACAATCGTGTGGCTTGGCAGCACTCACTACAGTACGTGTTATACTAATAGAGTCATATTTGTGTACAATAGGTGAAAACTATACCTTTGGAGTCCCTGTAGTTCCTGATGTATACAGGAGATACAGTGGATCTGTGGCAAGTACAGGGACACAATCGTGTGGCTTGGCAGCACTCACTGCAGTACGTGTTATACTAATAGAGTCATATTTGCGTACAATAGGTGAAAATATACCTTCGGAGTCCCTGTAGTTCCTGATGTATACAGGAGATACAGCGGATCTGTGGCAAGTACAGGGACACAATTGTGTGAATCACTCACTACAGTATGTGTTATACTAATAGAGTCATATTTGCGTACAATAGGTGAAAACTATACCTTGGGAGTCCCTGTAGTTCCTGATGTATACAGGAGATATAGCGGATCTGTGGCAAGTACAGGGACACAATCGTGTGGCTTGGCAGCACTAACTACAGTACGTGTTATACTAATAGAGTCATATTTGCGTACAATAGGTGAAAACTATACCTTCGGAGTCCCTGTAGTTCCTGATGTATACAGGTGATACAGCGAATCTGTGGCAAGTACAGGGACACAATTGTGTGGAGGCACTCACTACAGTACGTGTTATACTAATAGAGTCATATTTGCGTACAATAGGTGAAAACTATACCTTCGGAGTCCCTGTAGTTCCTGATGTATACAGGAGATACAGTGGATCTGTGGCAAGTACAGGGACACAATCGTGTGGCTTGGCAGCACTCACTACAGTACGTGTTATACTAATAGAGTCATATTTGTGTACAATAGGTGAAAACTATACCTTTGGAGTCCCTGTAGTTCCTGATGTATACAGGAGATACAGTGGATCTGTGGCAAGTACAGGGACACAATCGTGTGGCTTGGCAGCACTCACTACAGTACGTGTTATACTAATAGAGTCATATTTGTGTACAATAGGTGAAAACTATACCTTCGGAGTCCCTGTAGTTCCTGATGTATACAGGAGATACAGCGGATCTGTGGCAAGTACAGGGACACAATCGTGTGGAGGCACTCACTACAGTACGTGTTATACTAATAGAGCCATATTTGCGTACAATAGGTGAAAACTATACCTTTGGAGTCCCTGTAGTTCCTGATGTATACAGGAGATACAGCGGATCTGTGGCAAGTACAGGGACACAATCGTGTGGAGGCACTCACTACAGTACGTGTTATACTAATAGAGCCATATTTGCGTACAATAGGTGAAAACTATACCTTTGGAGTCCCTGTAGTTCCTGATGTATAAAGGAGATACAGCGGATCTGTGGCAAGTACAGGGACACAATCATGTGGCTTGGCAGCACTCACTACAGTACGTGTTATACTAATAGAGTCATATTTGCGTACAATAGGTGAAAACTATACCTTTGGAGTCCCTGTAGTTCCTGATGTATAAAGGAGATACAGCGGATCTGTGGCAAGTACAGGGACACAATCATGTGGCTTGGCAGCACTCACTACAGTACGTGTTATACTAATAGAGTCATATTTGCGTACAATAGGTGAAAACTATACCTTTGGAGTCCCTGTAGTTCCTGATGTATAAAGGAGATACAGCGGATCTGTGGCAAGTACAGGGACACAATCATGTGGCTTGGCAGCACTCACTACAGTACGTGTTATACTAATAGAGCCATATTTGCGTACAATAGGTGAAAACTATACCTTTGGAGTCCCTGTAGTTCCTGATGTATAAAGGAGATACAGTGGATCTGTGGCAAGTACAGGGACACAATCATGTGGCTTGGCAGCACTCACAACATCATGGTAGTTAACATCCATCTGAGGATCAAGGATGGCCTTTTCAAGCTGAAACGAAGTATGAAATGTGATTGGCCAAATGTTTCTTTTGTATGGATGGATCTGATACTTACCTAAATGGGAAATGAAATCCCTAGGGGGAAGTGAATATATTAGATCAATTGCACAAAGATAACAGAAAATTAACATCATTTTTCTATCTTAATACATTGCATCGTTTACCATTGACTGCCGTTTTTAAATATTATTTATCATCTGTTTTACCTCTGACAGTTCTTGGGAAATTAAGAATATGTAATGATGCTGACATTTGAGTGCTACTGAGTGTCAGAAAATGAAAGGAGCTTTACCCCATGTCGCTGATATATGATACATTTGTCTGGTTTATGTTCTGATTGAGCTATGGCACTCTCTAGAATAGGCTTGTAGTCTACGATCCTATTCGGTTCCACTCCACAACTGGCACTGACGATCACTTTAGGCTGAAAAATAGGAGAACAATCTTAAGTTAACTTGGAAATGTACATAAACTAACATTGCAGAGTTGATATTTACTAAATCTACTTCCTCAAAAAGCAATGCACATACACAGGAGTTTCACTGTATGTCATTTTGAGGAGCACCAGGGGAGAAATTCAATAAAACCCTAGTAACTCCTCAAACTCAATTACTTTAACACTGGATTGCCCTACTATACTAGTAATGATGTAATGATAATTTTGAGAAAATTTGAAATAATCTAAGTTCTGATAGAGGCAATCAAGATCCTCCGACATATTAAACCAGTGCATGTTTATTTGTAGGAATTGAAAAGTGAGAGAACCATGAATGAATCAATTGATAGAAAAGATGTTTAATTATTGGCCTTGACCGCAATTTTAGACAATATATTATTGAACTGACTTACTGCAGCATGGTTGATCCTAGTTGACAACTCCTTAGCAGCAAAGCCTCCAAACACAAGAGAGTGTACGGCTCCGAGCCTTGCACAAGCCAACATGGTGGCCATAGCCTGGGGTATCATAGGCATGTAGATTAACACACGGTCCCCCTTCTTCACACCAAGGTTGCTCAGAGCACCAGCCAATTTAGCAACCTGCCATCAATTAGAACAATGGAAAGTGTGTGGCATTCAACATTATCAGATTCTTGATTTAAGACCATGGGGCATTAAACGGGAGTAATTCTTAATGGCAATTTAGGTGTATGGGGTCACTATGAAAGTTCTGTCAATAAAGAGCATGGGATGACAAATCTGCATTTTTCAAATGTACATATCTAGAAAGTGTTTTACAAAAAGGTCCACAAGCTATATTTTGAAACCTGAATTTGAATGATTTTTGACATTTATAGACAGATCTTAATTGTTCAAAAGTCCCTCTATTATGCAGTATCATCTGAATGTGTAGAGGCAACCTTATTACTAAGGAAGTACTCTTCAATTATGTAATTATTTTACACACTTGAGACGATATTACATGGTCAATCTGTTTACTTACCTCTCTTAGAAGCTGGGTGTATGTAATTCTCTGGACTGTGTTCGTAACAGGGCTGTCATATATTATGGCATTCATATCTCCAAAGCCTTTCTCAACATGTCTATCTAAACAGTTGTAGCAAGTGTTCATCTCTCCACCCACAAACCTATAGTAATAAAGAGCACATGTCCTAATCCACAGTAGAGCCCATGCTACAGTATAAACTCACCCCGTTCAGACAGATCGACTAAAATTACATTTGTATGATGTGAGACTTGACATTAACCAGGAAACTTGAAATAATTTGTCACCCATGGGCAATTTAATTTTTTACTGCTTGATAAATGGTGAATGATAGCCAAATATCGTTAACCTGGCTAGGGTATTATCGAGTCTTGAAATGAGAAGATGCAGCATACAAAAGTTCCAGTTATAATTAGCTAGATCATGGGATTTCAATAGAAGGCAATGGCTAGACCATTGTCAGATGCTGGGATCTGAATCAAGGACTTGGCTTGGCACTAGGCAACTAGACTGTATCCTTAGTCTGATGATGCGGCACTTTATAATCACCCTCCCTGTGTTCTAGTTAATTAGCTAGACCATTGTCACTTGTCAGATGCTGGGATTTGAATCAAGGACTTGGCTTGGCACTAGGCGACAAGGCTTTATCCTTAGTTTGAATAAATTCAGACCGGATATTTATATTCGGTCTTTTGGATACATTCTAACTAGGAGCCCAACGCAACCGGGATTCAGGAGCTACAAATGCAAAGTTGAAAAGCTATACATGTACATGTAAATACAATAGCGTACCATCTTGTATGAGGAGAATTCGAATCATCTAATACTCTATCCCATTTCTTGAACCATGATATATTCTCTGCAGCTTCCCCCCAGAATTCATTGGGTGTCTCAACAGATCTTCGAAATGCTTCATCATAAGTTGAAACAGCGCTCCAACTTGTCTTCTGCTCGTATATTGATCCAGAGTGCAGTGAACGTGAATGTATCACATTTTTAGTACATTTGCACTTCAGGTTGGGTTGCAATCTTGCAGAATGTTTCAATAAACTTTGGAATAGTTTTACTTGTTTTGCCATCTTCTAAGAGTAATTATTATGTGATTTTCCAATTTGACTCATAAAAAATACGAGCGCTCATTAAAACTCAATTGAATTCAGTTTGTGATTTTACCGCACAGTCAGCACTATCAATGGTATATTCTAAAAATATAGGGAATATAATAGAGAAAAGTCCATAAGGCGTTTGTGACAAAATTTCCCGGAAGTGTTATATTTCCATTTATCGTTCAAACTGAGACATTTATGCTAATAATTCGACGTGTATATGATTCTTACATACCCAATACGATCAAAAATGTTACTAACATACCAAATGAAAGGTGATTTCCTGGTCAAACTTGCAAAAGTTGGTCCAAACTCGCACTTGAACCGAATATTTACCGGAAGTGTTTATATTTCCATTTGGGTGTCACTACGGTAAATCATTGAAAAATCACAAAATTCAGGTTCTGGGATACATATCGCCATTTTTGAACGAATTAGCCCATACAAGAACTATATTTCTGCGTTCCCCTATACATGACCTTCATCTTGACCATATATTTAACATAGGGTTTGCGTCTTGATTTTTAAATATCACTACGCCAACACAGGGACTCATTTTTAGGTAAAATCCCTGCTTCACCGATGAAAATTAACGAATAAAGTAGTTCAAGTTTGCGGGACTATATTCTTGCGATTTTTTTCTAAAAATGGCACATTTAGAAAGTAATTGGCCTCAGCTTTACATACATACCTCAAATGGCCACATTGCATACACTTAAACCTACTATACACACCATTGAAGTTTCATGGCTTCGTTTTTAAAGTATTAAAAAACACTACCCGGAAGTGGTATTTACCGTAGTTACACCTTAATATCCAAAAATGGGAAAATTTTACTATGATAATTTTTGCTCATTCAGCATTTTTTCAAACAATTGAGTTATTTCATGCTCAAAACAGCTGCATTTTCAAATTTTTAACACATTTTCTACAAAATCTAGTCATATTTGGGGAAATAGGTGAGGGCTGAGTCTCTAAACACTGGCCAAAATGACCTAAACTTGGGTTATCAACTTCAGAGATCTCATGCAAAAAATTTAGACGCAAAATCCCCGAGATTATTTCATTTTGAAATCATACACAGAATGTACTGAAACGTATGTTGTTAAATGCAAATATTTTGAGTCAAATGTGGTCCCCATGTGCAAAATTTGCCCTTTTTCTCCCCCTTTACGCCAGTTAGGCCCCAGTGTACTGTGACATCATACTCATACCATTGCTACAATGTAGCAATTTACAAATTAATCATGATTACTCTTCCTGTGATACACCTGTGGTAGTTGAACACTGTTTATTCCCCAGTGTGTTGATTGATTACATGCCAGCTTACTTAGTTACTTACTAAGTACGCAATAACCACCATCAAAGACCTGCCGGCACCTATTTATTTTCGGGTTGGTAATGGAATTTTACAAGGGCAATACGAGAAGAATTCAATTTTTCATTATTTAATGATAATTGCGGTAGATTTTACGGTAGTTTGAACAAGAATACTGTTAATTCAAGCAGAAATATGGTAGATTTTCAAATATTTACGGTATATTTTACGGCCGTTCTTATAGAAAAAATCTAATTATAATAAAATATTTTATGGTAGATTTTGGTAAAATTACAGTAGATTTTTTCGGTTGTTTTACAAGAAAAAACAGTAATTTTTTACGGTATTTATATTATTTTTTATGGTAGATGCCGGTAAAAATACGGTAGGTTGGCAGGTATGAGTTACCATTGCAACCGTGGAAATGGGTAAAAATGAGAGCAAAAAACACCCAGACCCGCCATAATGGCACTAATTTTCAAAATATTTCGAGACATACACATTTTCTTAAACTTTGATATCGTCTAGAACACTTCTAGACAACAAAAATATCAAAAATGGGGGGAAGGCAGGGTCGGATCTGAGAACCAACAAGGAGGGGGGGGGGCCAAATTTCAGGTCAGAAAAAAATTTGGGGCCCCTGAAACCAAAAAGTGGGCCCAAATTTTGAGGCCCATTTTCTTCAAAATTTGGCCTGAAATTAAAAAATAAGGCCTTAAAAGGCCCAGTTATGACCAAAAAGGCCCACTATTTGGGGCCTAAAGGCCTTTTATGCCCAAAAAATTTTTGAGCCCAATTTTTTTTTCTGGGCCCACCCAAGGGGGGGCGGGCCCCCAGCCCCCCCCCCTCCTAATCCGCCAGTGGAAGGTTTATCACTTCAATTATTTTCAAGCCTTGGTCAAAGTAAAACTACGAAAAAAGCACTCATTTTCACTTTAGAATCACCTATTATCGCCCAAATGGCTATATGTTGTCAAGGTCGCCATGTTAAAAGTAGAATTAGAATGCTCTTCAGACAATGTTTGATAGCTTTCCTTTATCACGGAACAAAGACCTTTGCACTGGTATGCCCATTTCCATGAGATTGTAGAGACCCACTCATTCTAATATAATCAGTAATTGCTTAGTAATCATATATTCATACTAGAATAATATTGTATCAATTGAATAGTAAGATAGTCAAAACTGCAGTCAGCTGATTTGAGCAAAGTGATGTCAATTTCACCTCATAAAGAGCACTCCGAGTCATTCAAAACATGATGCAGTTGTTCTAACTATGTCAGAGTATCTATTTCATTTGGCCTTGTAAAAGTTGAAACGTTGCTTTATTTTTGGTACGTCATATTGTGTCATATGCTAAGTATAGTATTAGCGTCATTATTGTACCTACATCATTTTGCTACTGACATCACTTTTTAATGGAAAATTATCTTGTATAAATTGAGAGGATTGTACGAGCTCTTTGGTTAGCAATTTCGGATCATCAAGGGCACATCTTGGCTGGTAAATGATGGGAACAACAATTTGATTTAGATGAAAAGTATTGTAAAGGACTTTCAGTGTTCTATAGATGGAAAAGGAAAGTTTAGAACTTTCAAGTTTCTATAAGAGGACAAATGAAGTCAAAAGTACAATAGAAGTTTCATGTTTTTAGACATTGATTATTTCTATAGTCTGTTGGAAGTCAAACATGCACAGAAGCTGTGATAGGTTTGAAATAGAACAGAATAACAAGATGGTCATTTTAAAAGAGGTAATTAGGAACAAATTGAACTTATTTAGGTAAGCGTCAGTTTTTACTTTTAATGAGAGTTTATACCATTTCTATTTCATTATCTTGTTTTACTAAAAGAATCATGAGAAATCTAAAAGCCTTATGAAGGAAGAGATTTAAAGATGATTTATAGTAAGATTGGAATCAATTCATAATTATTAAGAACAACTTAGCTTCAGGTTTATAAGGAATTTATGATATTCACCTGACTGCAGATTTTGCTTTTGATGTTTGCTCTTATATTAACTAGAATTGATTTCCTCATTGTAAGTGATACTTTAATAGTAAGCTTTTGATATGTGAAATATTTTGTTTGTAAAATAAATTAATGAATAAGATGAATGGTAAAATTGTTCATTGTCTTCTTTTGAGTTAAAGATTTGCATCTGTGAATTATTATCAATATTTGGAGTTTTGGTTTGTTTTAGTCTTTCAATATCTAGACATAAAATTCACCCTTTGTCTTTACAATCATTGATCATTTATTGAATCATAAAATGCTAGCTTCATTAATAGTCCCGGTCGTAGCTACCTACTTATTGTATAACTCTGGGGCTAGTATTTTATATTGGTGGCAGCTTGGTGAGATGCTCTTAAAACCTTGTTTTAAGGGACCTTTTTATTAATTTTAGTCGATATTTGATTGATGATCAGTTGTGCTTGTCTGTTATATAGCACATAATTTGCAAGGGTGTTCAATGGAGGGTCAGATTTAAATTTTTGTCAGATGTTGCCCTTGAGGAATTGCTACCCAGTTTCCTCAGCATGACAGGCTGAGGAGGCTTTAACTTTTCGGAACTTGGGATTGGACGTTATAGTTCGGTAGTTTGGCATCAAGTGATTGCACAGTCTGGATTGCATATACTGAGACTTAACTTCTCAAATATATCACACCTTTTTGATCCGGAAGTGTGTGATAAAACAGGTAAGGAAATTGAATTGTTTTTAAATAAAACAAAAAACTTGAGTACTGAAACTGAGTCAAGTGATCATTATGGTGCTATCTGGAGTATAGGATTACATTGGGATTAACATAAGGTCATAATGGGTATCGTTCTCATGGCTGGCCAAGAGAATTGTCCTCATCTAACCTAAACAGTGTTGTATTTCAAGGTCAGCAGATATAAACTTGTTAGGCATAAATGCATTGTTGCTATAGCAAGGCCAGTATCAGATGATGTTCCATAAATGAAATCCACCTTTTGTCAGGGGGAGGTGAGATACTCACTTGCTGTAAGTTTGTTCAGTTTAGAAAAGTAAAGTATGGGCAATTAATAATTGTTTGTAATGTAAGTGAAACCAGATTAGTTTCAAATGAAAAATGTATTTTATGAATTGACTTACGATTCAGAAGAGGCTTGGGAAGAAAATTTAAGTTTTGACCCAAAATCTGTGTCTGTAGTTGTATTTGTTTGATTCTGAATAGATAGGGGTAGAAGAAATAATCTATCTTGCGTATAAATGATTGGATAGTGAAAATATAGCCATGTTGTTAGCCAGGTACATGTATTCAACATAGCATTTACTTGTGATTAAGTGTAATGTTATTGTATTGAAAGATGGCGCTCACTGTTGTTATTAAATGTTTGGTCTACAATTAATTAGTGAATGGCTTTTATTTTTCAAAATTGACAATGCTGTTCCTGTTATAATTTATACAGGGGCAAAATATAAGTATTTTTCAAGTGAAACAAAATTAGTAAGAGTTTTGACCCTTTGATAGCAATAATGCTATCACTAGTGATTCTTTAATTAGTAATAAGATAAATCGATTTCATGTTTTATTTAGGTCAGGGTATTCAGGTGGTTCAAACATTATTAGTGGCCGACATAGCCACTCCGGCTGTGTTAGGCTACAATTTTTTAAAGAATCAAAAGGCAATCTTTAATGTCGGGGATGCACTGTTGACTGCATGGCAAAGATTTTGATTGTATATTAGAGACTGATTTGTCTACAAAGTGCCGAATTTTAATGCAAGATACTGTCAGAGTGCCTCCCATGACAGAAATGATTGTTCCTGGAAAAGTACAATGTCAACACTTGGGTGATACACCTCTGTGAATTGAAATGAATGGGAATTTGGCAGATAGAGAAAAATTTCCTCCCCTGATTATTGCCAAATCCCTTGTTGACCCTAGTCAACCTTTCATTCCAATTAGATTGGCTAATCTTAGTTTAGAACCCTTGTTCCTTTACAAGAATACTGCAGTAGCAACCGGGGAACCAATATTCGATGTGGGGAATCTCGTTGCTTCTTGTGGGGAAAAAGTTGATGTTGAAGGTGGTGCTTTTGGGGAGGTTGGTAAATCAATGGAAAATGTTACTCAGGTGGTGAAGGGCAAACTTGCTAGACTACGACCTGACCTTTTACCTCGCGACAGTGGCGACGAGCCGGAGGAGTCTCGACGCTATGATGACGGTCATTCAGAGACTGAAGATCCCCTATGCTTTGGAGCGTTCCTAACTGGGGATCCGAGAAAACGTTTAGGTCTGACCCCCTGCACTGCTGTAGCTGGCGAGGCGCTGGAAAGTGAAGCTGAAAAGTCCTTAGAAGACGCGCCTAACGTGCACCTCGTTCAGCCCTACACGGATAGGATGAATGATTGTCCAGGGCACGCCCTATGCTCTCATGACGATGTTGTAGTAAGGTCTAAATTAGTGCCTGGAAATAACATTGCAGCTGGTGACATTGAATACCAATCTCCCGAAAAGACGGACGAAGATATACCTGACCATTTAAGACATCTGATTGACAATTCGACAGACAACTTGTCCAATTGCGACCGTATAAGAGTTATGAATTTTCTGTTACAAAATCAAGATGTTTTTCATAATCTAAATTTGATTTATAGGCGAGACTAGTGTTAATTATAACAAGATAAGAAGAAGAGTTAGCTTTAACTTAATTCCTGATACCAGATGGGAATATTATATCTTAACCTGAATTATGATTGACTTTTTAATTTTAATTACTTTCTAGGTATTGTTTTTGATGTTTTCTTGTTTTCTAATGTCATTTATGGAGATCATGATTTTGACCTTGAGTTAACAGTTGAAAGAATATTGAAGAAAATTTTAATATTTTTAAAGCAAACAGAGAACCTGGACAAGCAGGTTGAGTGTTTTATGTTTTGAAGAAGTTTCATATTTTGTAACAGAATATATTGTTTAATTCCTTATATTCTAACTATTAATATATATTATTAGACTTGTATAGATTAGAAAGAGGGTGTTGAAATGATCACCCTATAGTCTAATGTTGGACAAGTAATTATGTATGACTTAATCTAAATTACCTAGGAAGATTAATGCCTTTAGATCCTAAAGGGGGGTTCGTATAGAAATACTTAAAACCCTTCAAGTAGGATAGACAGGTTAGAATCTTATTAAATTTTAGGTTTGCCATGTTATGGTGGAACCCTTCGAAAGCCTCTGGGTAGCGAAATGAGAATGTATGAAGGATGTCTACTCTAGTTCAATGCATACTACAAAGCACTGATCCCGTGTTGATCTCAGTGACATTTGTGCAGCATGCAGTGTTGCTGTAGTTGGAGCTACCTCCAAGTTGGCACAAGTCAGATGGGATGCTGAATTCCAGTCATTAACATGAGGAAAGATGGAGAGAACAATACTGCCTACAATGAGGAGATTTTCTGCTAGCTATAGAACGATATTACATCTGACTACATAGATCGGCAGAGACTTCAAATATACCATACTCAGCACCAGCAAATGAAACTGACATTTGAACATTTCAACTAAGGGTCATGAAGCCAAGAACTATATAAACTTTCTGATGGACTTACAATGTATACATGTATATACAAATTGTTATAGACGTACATATATCAGCTTATAGCTCCTTATCTCTGAAGAACAGTTTAGAAAAATTGTTGTGTATCAAATTACATACAGTATATTGCATTGCACTGCAAAGCACATCTAAAGCAAACAGGACTTACATATTTAGATATGTTGTTCGAGGACGAACAATTTTTCTATTGAAGGGGGTAGTGTAGAGACCCACTCATTCTAATATAATCAGTAATTGCTTAGTAATCATATATTCATACTAGAATAATATTGTATCAATTGAATAGTAAGATAGTCAAAACTGCAGTCAGCTGATTTGAGCAAAGTGATGTCAATTTCACCTCATAAAGAGCACTCCGAGTCATTCAAAACATGATGCAGTTGTTCTAACTATGTCAGAGTATCTATTTCATTTGGCCTTGTAAAAGTTGAAACGTTGCTTTATTTTTGGTACGTCATATTGTGTCATATGCTAAGTATAGTATTAGCGTCATTATTGTACCTACATCATTTTGCTACTGACATCACTTTTTAATGGAAAATTATCTTGTATAAATTGAGAGGATTGTACGAGCTCTTTGGTTAGCAATTTCGGATCATCAAGGGCACATCTTGGCTGGTAAATGATGGGAACAACAATTTGATTTAGATGAAAAGTATTGTAAAGGACTTTCAGTGTTCTATAGATGGAAAAGGAAAGTTTAGAACTTTCAAGTTTCTATAAGAGGACAAATGAAGTCAAAAGTACAATAGAAGTTTCATGTTTTTAGACATTGATTATTTCTATAGTCTGTTGGAAGTCAAACATGCACAGAAGCTGTGATAGGTTTGAAATAGAACAGAATAACAAGATGGTCATTTTAAAAGAGGTAATTAGGAACAAATTGAACTTATTTAGGTAAGCGTCAGTTTTTACTTTTAATGAGAGTTTATACCATTTCTATTTCATTATCTTGTTTTACTAAAAGAATCATGAGAAATCTAAAAGCCTTATGAAGGAAGAGATTTAAAGATGATTTATAGTAAGATTGGAATCAATTCATAATTATTAAGAACAACTTAGCTTCAGGTTTATAAGGAATTTATGATATTCACCTGACTGCAGATTTTGCTTTTGATGTTTGCTCTTATATTAACTAGAATTGATTTCCTCATTGTAAGTGATACTTTAATAGTAAGCTTTTGATATGTGAAATATTTTGTTTGTAAAATAAATTAATGAATAAGATGAATGGTAAAATTGTTCATTGTCTTCTTTTGAGTTAAAGATTTGCATCTGTGAATTATTATCAATATTTGGAGTTTTGGTTTGTTTTAGTCTTTCAATATCTAGACATAAAATTCACCCTTTGTCTTTACAATCATTGATCATTTATTGAATCATAAAATGCTAGCTTCATTAATAGTCCCGGTCGTAGCTACCTACTTATTGTATAACTCTGGGGCTAGTATTTTATAAGATAATGCACGTGAAAGAGGAACAGTGTCTTTAAATGTCATCAAAACTTTTTCTCACTTCTTTTGGTGTAATAATACCATCTGATTGATTGTTGGTGTAAACAACGAGTCGGGTTAATCTGCACGAGGTTCGGTTTTTCATTAAGGGAAGTACTTTATTCCCATGATTCAAAGTGCTTTTCTGCCATTGGTTCGGTTTAAGTTTGTACAACAAACGTCCACGAATCCAGGGCAGGTTGACATTATATCATTACATTTGTTTTGGGTGTATAGTTTTTGTTTTGACAATAAACAAAAAAAATCCCGCAATATATGGTGCATCATGGGTAGGACACGCTGTGAAATATGAACGTAAGTGACATCTATGTCAAATTAAATGTTCCTACAAAGTTATTAATCGCGCATGCGTCATGATAACTTAAACCAATCAGATTACTGGGTTTAATGCGCACGCGCCATAAACCGAATACTTTCCCGGGATTCGGGCTTTAGGATACGATTTTACACTGACCGATTGCAAACGAGATTTAGCGAGATGAAGCGGTTGTGAAACCAAGATGGCAGAAAGTTTGTGAACTTCTAGTATTATTATATCTTACGGTAGAGTATACCATTGATAGTGCTGACTTTGTCTGACCCATATTCTCCATGCTGTATTACCCAGGATGCATCTCTGAGAAGAGGAGATTTGGATAGAGATTTAAACGAGATTTAGCGAGATGACGCGTTTGTGATACTTTTGTTGAAGAATGAGCACATTTGAACTGATTTCTACGATCTCAACGTAATTTGAGGTATGGACTTTCATTTTTAATAACACCTTGGTGTCTTATGGACCTCCGTCACTAAAAATAATAGGGAAACACTTGTGTAGAAACGTCGAATTCTTAGTCTGAAAAGTAGGGTGTCTGTAATTTTATAGAAAAATTGCCAAAAGCTTATGAACTTTTAGCTCTTACTACCACTACTTACCATTGAGAGTGCTGACTTTGTTTTACCGTTCCAATCAAACAAACATTTAAAGGTTTTTAAACATGATTTTGTTTCAAATATTTATAAATTATGTTGATTTAGACTCTGAAGGGTAATTTTTCTTAGCAAAGCAACTGAACTATCCTTCAAATGCGATATGAAAACGGTCATAATTCTGTGAGAGCAATGTGGAAATTAAATAAGGATCGCTCTGTCAAATTTAGCATGCTTCCGGTTCTTTTTTAAATGAAGCTAAAAAGGTGCCTTTTCAAACAAAACTGAAAAATAACACTACATTACATCATAATAAATAAATCAATAGACCATTTGAAGTTCCTGAATCGATTTACGGAGTTTTCAGTGTAAATCTAGCCGAGAAATGGAGCAAAATGATGCAGCAAGTGGAATTCCAGAAATTTCTCCAACCGAAGGAATGGTTGACATTTCTAAAGCTCAAGACGGCGGTTTGTATAAACAAATTCTAGTAGAAGGTGCTGGAGGCAGGCGACCTGGCACTGGGAATAAGGTAGAGGTGCATTATGTTGGAAGACTGCTCTCTGGCGACAAGTTTGACTCCAGTCGTGATCGCAATGATCCCTTTGTCTTCACCCTCGGGAAAGGTACAGTGTAAACATAATACCAATGTAGTAGACTATAAAGATACTCATTAAAATTATGTAGTAATAGAAGATGATTTTTCAACAGTGAACTGAAAATTTTCTCGTGATCATACGAACCAGAAGATATAGCATGTTTCGGAATTTCGTTGCAATTCCCAATGGAGTCTTATGTTATTTTTCAAAGATCAATCACTCATTCCAAACATTGTCTACATCTTTCGGATTTGCACAAAGAGTGCACCAATGAACCTAGAAATGAAGAATGTTTTTTCATAAATTGTATAAGAAACAAGTACATGTAAATTCAGTGACATTTCTAGTTTTCTATACATTTTACACTCTTCCTGGTACATTAGTGCAGTCTTTGTGCAAACCTGAAAGATGTAGATAATGTGGGGAAGGAGTGATTGATCTTTGAAAAATAACATGTAACTACTGAGGATTGCATCAAAATTCCGACCATGCAGTCTGACCTTAAAGATATAAAAATTTACTGAATAGCAAATCACAACTATTAGCATAACAATTTAAATCTTCATATAGGTCATCAGACTAGAAGCCAGTCATCACTTACATTGCTATACATGTATGTACCTCTATTACCCATGATTACAATTTTGAACTTGTATTCTACAGGGCAGGTGATCAAGGGCTGGGATGAGGGCGTAGCCACCATGGCGATAGGGGAGATAGCCATCCTTACATGCAGATCTGACTATGCATATGGGGCAAGTGGAAGCCCACCAACAATACCTCCAAATTCAATCCTTAAATTTGAAGTAGAGCTCATATCATTCAAAGGTACTTTTGGATTCACTTATTAATATTTTCATTTCTATTTTAAGACACTGTTACTTACTGTTCAGAGTATGGCCATAAGATCATAACCACCAATGGAACTTGGTAGAATGAAAGAACATAACCAGATTAAATTATGCCAAATATGATTTTAAACCCATGCTGGATGACTGGGTTATTATTACGATTTGTCTAGATTACCTTTTTTGGCTCACTATGGACTATGGACTAAGAAGTTCATATAAATGTCCCAGTCTTCGCTTTGCAATGTGAGTGCATACCTATGATATATCCACTTTACTATGAATCATGATCCTTCAAGTTTACTCATACAATATGTACATGTATAATTTATGTCTTTTTCAAGGAGATGATGTCACAGATAAAAAAGATGGCGGTGTAATGAAGTCTACCTTAAGAGATGCACCAAACAGAGAGGATGATGACACACCACGTATGGGAGCTCAGGTCAAAGGTCAGCACACAAATATACCCCCAATTTTTGAATTGTAACTATTATGTGAAACATTAAACAACTTTCTCTCGGACATGTCGTCATGTTCATGTGTTGATAAGTCTAGCACCAAGCTTGTGTGTAAATTTTCTTATCTATATAAATCTACACAGAGAACCAGTGGCTGGATACAAGAATTAATGAGCTTGTACTATTTATAGTTAAGTAGCTTCACCGAATATAAATACTAAATACCCATCATTATACCCAAGAATAATGTAATGTTGTTTTGTTTCCAGTAAAGATAATAGGATATTACAATGACCAGGCATTTGACACAAGAGAACTATCATTCATTCTTGGGGAAGGGAGCCAACATAACATTCCATGGGGCGTAGACCTAGCTATAAGCAGTATGAAAGTGGATGAAAGGTGCAGAGTCGTCATAAAGCCAGAGTATGGTTTCAGGGAAGCTGGCAATCCAGAGTTCAAGATTCCAGCAAATGCAGAGTTAGATTATGAAATAGAACTCATAAGTATGGAGAATGTAAGTTGAACAGTGTCACAGTTTCTTTGACATTTTTTAAGACATGCTTCCTTGTCTGTTTGAACTATAGCAACAGGTAATTCTGCTAGATATTGCAAGATAAGTGATAGTCTTTTCAAATCCAATTATTTGTATACCAGTATCTGCAAATATTATGAGGTAATTTTGCAATATGTACAGTAGGGAGATATCTAGATTTTTATTTAGGACTGCTATTTATGACTGTTGTTTGATTTATGATTTTACAAAACATGCACTACATTTTTGCCTTTTGTTTAGATGCTCACTGTGTATCGCTATACCCTGACATCACTGCTTGATTGTTGATTTGCTATTTACAATTATTTTACAGGCCAAAGAAAACTGGGAGATGTCAACAGAAGAAAAAGTACAACAGGCAATCATTGTTAAAGAAAAGGGGACAGGTTTTTTGAAAGTAAGTTTAACTAGAGAGTAAATCATGGGTAAGAACTTTGTGCTTGAGTTATATAGGACATTCACTAAATAATACACTTGACAAAAATGTTTTTGCATTCAATATTTTTCATCAAACCGTGAAACATGCTATACTGTTCTGCTTGGTTGTTAGGGGGGTGCCAAGTAAATCTAATGTCATAAAATTCAGGAAGACTATTTATCCAACTAGAGATTTTTACTGATGGAAGAGCATATTAATGCCAAGATGCATCTTGTTAATCAATATCACAGTGTGACAAAATTGAGTTCAGAAATGATAAAACCATTTAATACATTTGTAGAAGGGTAGCTTAGAAGCAGCATACAGCCATTACCTACGTGTCATAAAATATCTTGAGGATGAGAGCCTAGAAGGTGTCACAGGGGATAAGCTTGCAGACTACAATAAGACACTGCTGGCTGGCTACCTGAACTGTGCACATTGTGAACTGAAGTTCAGTGACCACCCTGCTGTGCTGGAACATTGTAATAAAGCACTTGACATTGATAAAGACAATGAAAAGGCTCATTTCAGGCGGGGAGAGGTGAGTTAATGCAAATATAAGTATATTTTATATCATAAGGGAGTTGGAAAATAGGTTTAATCTAAATGGCAAATCACTAATATTTAGCCTTAAGATTGAAAATAATGAATTATAAATTTAGATTTTGACATAGATTCAAAAAGAGTTAAGATAACAAATTTGTTTAGGTGTCACCTTAAATCCTAAAAAGTAAGTGCGGATGGATTAAAATGCATAGATTGTGAATTTTCCTTTTCTTAATTTTAAATTCTTTTCATTTTACAGGCTTACTTTGCATTGCAAGACTATGAAATTGCAAAGAAAGATTACGATGCAGCTCTCCGCGCTAACCCTAGCAATAAACAAGCAATTAGAAAAGCTGCTCAATGCCAGCAACATATCACAAAGGAGAAGAATCGACAGAAAAGTTTATATGGAGGAATGTTTGAAAAGTTTGCCAAGAAGGAGGAACAGGTATAGCATATACTAACTCGCTTCTTGTTAACTTAAAGCAGTACATACTCATGCTATAGGCTCTCATAGTATAAGTTAGCTTTTGATCTTGTGCAGTCAAATGTCAGATTATTTTATTGATCTTCATAGACATCATGCTGGCCAGTTGCATGGACATATTTATATTTACGACAGGGTGGACCAAAAATGTTAGTTTGTTATATTCTTGCCAGTTTAGAATGAATAACACTTTTTTGGCCCACTCTGTATTGTGACACTCATGGGTTGTTTTCTCAATCTGAGACTAAAGCTGCAGTTTTCTCCTTTGCAGAAAAATGCAGCACTAGACTTGGATAGAGAAAAGAACTGTGTGTTTGAAACAATAGATGATTGGGACAATTCAATGGCTGATGGTATGATGCCATTGGAGCAAGAATGTGCTGCCTTTGGTGAAGCTATGCCACCACGTAGAACTAATGGCAATGGTCCAGTCACACCAATAGATTGAATATGCTCATTCATGAAATCATACAAAGTAGTCATTTAAAAGTGCCCTCTCAGTGTGTCATTTTGTGAGTCACGAAGAATTGGTTGTACATGACCATCAACCAAACCTATTTGAGTCCCGACATGGTTATATTTGAACCAGAATGCTAATGAAAGGCATGGTATTGAGTTACACAATAGAGATTACACAGTGGAGATTTTGTAATGGCTATACTTGAACAACCAAATGGCTTCAATGGCATTGGATAATTTTCAGGCAGAAGCTGTGAAAAAAGCTGTAGTTGATGAGAAACCTGATGTGAATGAAGCGGAAACTGCTATAAATGATGAGGCTGTTACAACATCTGAGTGAAATGACAGACATTTTCAATTAGTGGAATGAATGTTGGGAGAACCGTGGCATCAAGTAGAACAATGAGACATTGTAGGGGTGGACAGGTGAAGGATTGAAGTGTTACTTACTTTTGATTCTTCTATGGCAGAATAGAAAATACAGTGCTTGTTGCAGTGCACCGTGACATCAATGATATATTCGTTTGATACTTAGAATAAAATGAATGTGAAATGACAAATTACAAGCCTTAGATTTGTTTTCATGTTTTATTCCAATGAACAAAATTTGGTAGAGGGATATTCTCAAGTCCTTCATTGATGGATCAGTCAGTGAATCAGTCGTCCTGTATTGGCAATAACTCAAAAACTAGTAAGCCCAATACATTTAGTGTAGAAAGACGTTCATTGGTAATGGTACACAAAATACTTTTAAAGTAGCTGGGCATATCAGTACATGTGACTTGGGATGTTCATAACACAAGAATCACTTATTAACGCAATGATAACTGTATATCCGATCACCACATCTGTAAACACCTCTCAATGTGAACACCTCTCAATGTAAACACCTCTCAATGTGAACACTTACTTGGTCTCAAATTTGTTATCTCTAATTGACAAACACAAAACTAGTGATCGGAACACCTGCTTAACCGAACTCTAATCCTATCTTTGGGGCGTTCAGATTAGAGGTTTTTTGCTTTGTATGGGTTGACTTTGTTGAGATTCCAAAAATATACACTATATTGAGGCAGATGGTTGACGTTCGACCTCTATAAAAGTTCGTTACAGCAGATATTAAAAAAATCTTGCCAGAACAGCAATTAGGAAGCCAAATGATATGCAGCATTTTTAACATAATGATATATGCCGATTAAAGCGTTGTTTCAAGTTTACAGATTTTAGGCATACCTGTTACTGTTGTATATGGCAACAAATAAGGGGACTTGATGATATTCAATTTAAAAATCATGAGCTGGATTTACAATACGGCCCTAAGACGTCTTGGGTAAAACGTTTTACCGTTAAAATGTTTTACAAAAGAGCGCTTAACCAAAACGTTTTAGGACCCTAGTCATAGCCAAAACATATTAAACGTTTTACAAGCCAGTGTAATCCATCGGTTTTAGCCAAGAGCTCTTAACCCGGTTTTGTGCGCTGCGCTGAACGGAAAAATTGAAACTTTCTGTTTAAATGTGTAACACAGTCCTTTCTTTTGTCCAAACCATTGTTCCCAATATTGTCCCAAAATATCGAGAAGAGGAACCACCTTCTTCTTTACCTGGCGTTCTTCCATATTCCTAGTATTCCTCGTATATGCACCAAATCGTGCTGCTCTCTTTCGTGCTTTTAACAATGCTCTCTTCATGCATATATCTGTGAACACGATGCATCCTTTAGCAAAAAGTATCTAAGTAGGAACGGATTAGCCATCTTGACTGGACCGTCCTTCAATCAGTATTGAACTAATATTTTCATATTACATGTAATCTCCAAGATGTCTTTGGAAAACAGGTGTAACATTTTGATCATGTTCTAAGTTCTAGAGGACCTACCCGTTCGAGTACGTTCGATGAAGTTTCTAAATAGACCCCAAACGGTCCTAAGTACGTCCAGTCCGTTCGTACACAGTTGAAGCCCGTTTTCGAGAACGTAGTGAGAACTAGTTTGATGTGATAGTAGGGTTAGTTTTGAAAACTAGTTTGGTGTGACTAAAGGAGGGGGGGGGGGGGGTACGTGCACCAACGTATTACATGACCAGTCTTGTATTTTGCAATATTTTAAATCATTACTAGTATATAATGCTAGACGACGTAAAATTGTCTTTCTGAAAACGTCATTTAAAGGGTGACGCATATCGTTTAGCAAATCGAACGCTCGTTTCTGGTGTTGCTCACCGTTTAGTATAAAAGGCCCGATCCCGGAATATTACTCAAGGGTTCACAGGTTCGAGGTCGTTGTGTCAACACCTCTAACTGTTATATAGCATAAGTATATTATAGATCGTCACACATTTATAAAAGGGTGATTTTTAATTTGACAAATCAATTCCACATTTATGGGTGAAGTTTCAGGATCTTCTATTTGTGTATAATAAGGAAAAATTGGCATCTAAAGTTTTCCCCATTAACAGCACACAGCTTGGCATATGAAATATCCTACAAATGAAACAAAGCAAGACAAACCGGCTTCTAATACAAGAATTTATATTGGCTGTTGTACATGTATTATTTGAACGCAATCACTCTTTGGATAATGTTTTCAAAATCATTATCAACGGATTACTTTATCTCAAAGACAATTTCAATAAACTGGATTTTACAGAACTCCCCTTATTTCTTAAAAATAGACTGATCCAGTTGATTCGCCTGGAGCCGCCATATTGTTTTTATACGGGATGCTAATCGGAACCCTTTAAAGATGCATTATACCATAGGTTTCTCGCCCAGACAATCGATGTCCCTTTTTATTGCTCATATAATATCTCACACACCATGGATATACATGTATCTTGGGAATAACCTATGGGTATATTATTGCCGAAATATTGATATAATCGACAGAACAACCAGCCTCCAGAATTAAACACAATCAATTCCTCGGCTAGCGAGGGGAATCCCCATTGAGTTACACAAGCGCCCACAAGCGCATTAAACCAGGCAACCAATCAGGTTCATGATAAACAAAATCAACGACCAATCAGATAAAAGGGGATTTCCCCGGTATATTTAAACTTCAGACTGAATGAATTCCCGTAAAAATAATTAGATCGGTCTGCACAATCGCAAAATTAACACTGAAAGCGGGGGATTTGAGACTTCTTATTTGGTGAGTAGATGGATGAATATGTGGTGAACCTCAATATGCAAAAAGGTCCAGAGGGGTCTTTATTGTGATATCCTATGGGATAGAGCCTCTTTTAAATTGGTCGGATTTTGAGCTTTACCTCTCTAAACGAGTAAAAATAATTGGTAGTAACCCCAGGGAGTTTCCCAGGCCAATAATACCTATTTATACAACCGTAAGCACTTGGACATTCGGAACCTTTTATGTATTTGCCAAAGACAGAGTCATGTGAACCATTACAACCGTTTCCATACCAATAAGGTCCACGATAAGTGACAGCACAATTAGAAGTACTAGAACCATCGTTATCAGATTCCTTTGTGGAGAATTGAACATGATTCGAATATAGCATAGAATCCAGTCTGTAGAATCACCTGCTGTACCACTGTACCCATCAATATTTAACCTGTATTTGTCATTTTCATCATTAATGTTAAAGGTTTTATATTCTGCATATCGTGTCTCATTCTCCCATGTTGTAAGCTCAAACCTAGCTTTGTATCTCTTTTGTTGCAATACAGAAACAATGCTGTCCATTCCTATGAAGTGTTCTTTCATGATATCACCAAAGCCCTGTTTGTAAGCTGCCCAATCCAGGTTGAAGTCCACACTCCCATCAAAACGATGTGCAAGGATAAGCCAACCAGCTTCACATCTTGCAAGAAAAAATCTACCATTCTTGGTGGTTATTGTATGAGCTCCATCCGAATGTCTGCTGCAATCTTCTGCTATGCGGCCTAAAGAAATTAAAATAGGTGAATGATGAGAAGATTTACACCAATAAGTTATCCAATCTGCTGGTTGATTTAAAATACACGATGGCATATCAAGGGCTTTTTGGGAAAGGTTTTACCCACCCAGTCCATATTGCACATTTACAGGGCGTATCAAAAAAAACGCAACAAGTAGCTATCTCGGTAAATAACAAAACTAGTGATGACTACATCAATTTCATTCAATGTGCCATAAAGCCATGTCTCTCCTCTTTGCAATGATATGTCATTCATTCACATGTGGTGATGGTTGAGTGAGAAATCCTTCCATTTGCACAGTGGGTCAAAATCGGCTCTTAGCCAAGTTTTAGATATTGAAAAAATCAGTGCAAGGGTTAAGTGCCAATGGAAGTTCCCCTGACTTGAATTCTTGTGACTTTTTCTTTTGGAGCTCTCTCAGGAGCATCTGTGCTCACAATTCCTCCACCAGATATTGCAAAACCTCGAGAAAGAATTGCCCATGGGCTGCTTTTCTCTGCTTTAACCCACAGATGACTCAGGGCTGAACCATGCATGACGTGGACAGATGAGCGCATCTTTATGTGCAAGAAAGTGGTAGCAATTTGGAGGGGTATTAGATGTATTCTTGCAAGAGTATGAGTATGAACACTTTACTGTCTATACCACACCTGTCACACCTTCTTTCAATAGCCCCTTTGCCCGTTGTATTGACTTTTGCAATGTTTAAAACTTGGGTTCGAGCTGAATTTTGCCCCACTTTGCAAAATCTACGATTATTCGGTCAGCCATGACTCCCCGTGAATGAATGATAGTCCATTGCAAGGAGGAGTAATCCGGCTTTTTGGTACATTGAATGAAAAGGATGCAATCAGCATTGGTTTTATGTTTTCTTCCAATATTGCATCGGGCTCCGTACACTGACTTTTGCGATTTTTATAACTTGGCTCAAAGCTAATTTTGGCGCACTTTGCAAATGGAATGATTACTCGCCCAACCATGACCAAATATCAATGAATGATATATCATTGTAAAGAGGAGACACATGGCTTTACAATGCATTGAATGAAATCAATGCTGTTATCACTGGTTTTGTGCTTTTCCGAGATAACGATCTGTTGCGTTTTTTTTTGATACGCACTGTATAATTAAAAAGTCAAATAAGGATATGAATAAAAAATTGGCGAAGTTTAATGGCTAGCTGCCATCCGCGCAGAGTCTAGTTATAAAGTAAAACTACCGACGAAACTCTCTTTTAAGAAGTGAAGTCGAACGAATGTAAAAGGTAATGGCTAACAATATTTCTTGTCATTCTTTTCTTCTGAAAATGCCCAACAGTTATGAAGTGTGTTCAATCTGTCAATTTCCCCTACAATCATTTTATATAAACTTTCTGTTATAGCCTATTTTAAATCGTTTACTAACTTGGTCATCTAATCCTGTCTGACACGTTTCTACTAGTTTCTTCATTTGTTGCTTCATAATTACAAGATCTTCATTTGATGCTTCGTTTCCAAATGTCGACTCGTTGCAATTCGCTATAAGATAACAAAATATTTACAGTATGAAAGTTTAACATAACGCTTGTATTATTACTTGTTTCAGTTCAAATTTTTAAATCATTTTTTTCTTTAAAACTACAAAATACAAAGAATAGACATGATTCTTTACATCTTGATTCTTGAATAATTATAGGAACACACCTTTACACGTTCCACGTTATCATACAAGTGTAGCAGGTCGTTCAATAAGTTCACGGAAAATGCTCTCATTTCAAAGATTTTTGATATTTACTCACGAAATTTTCGCATCATATAGTAATGTGTAGAATATAATTTGATATTGATTGATTAAATATCAACATCTCTCATTTGATTGGTACTTCAAAATTATTTTTCAACCAGTTGCAGCCCTTATCTTCTTTTCCAATGGTTCTTTATCCGGGAATAATTTGGAAAATAAGGGGTATACCTCCCCGCCTCATTATAAATCTAATCAAAACACAACTATATCATTTTGAGTATGTTTAATACATGTACGTTTTACTTTGACACCATATTGAAGTGAAACAATTAAATTAAATTAGTTACCGTTTGCAATATTATTTGGGTCATTATGTCGAAAGCTCATCAGTTGTTCTTGAATAGTTTCAAACATCCGTGATGATTTATTACAAACTGGAAATACACAAATGCTATAAAATAACAACAAATTAGATTTAGCAGTGTGCTATTGAGAAAATATACCATTTGCACGTGATTTTGTTTTTATTATCGGAAAGAAACACTGAAAAGAAAAGGTCGAAATGATTTATATCTTAGTCACATTTGCTCTACGACTTGGATTAACAGCACGCGGCCGCCGTAATCTCCTTTCCCTCGAAATCAAGAGATATCCTGCGGCGGTCGCAGATGATCTGTAATGGCCTCAGGGTCGCCCCTGCTAACTCTTTTTAATTTCTATGTTTGCCATAGCGATACATGACGAAGCTATGTCGTAGAGTGGTACCACAGCACTGGGACTCCATATATACTGTAACTGTTTCCCAATCACTTAGTTACTTTGACGTTTACAAAATGGAAAAGCCTACTCACGGGGGATAAGCAAAACGAGGGTGAAGCCACGGACTGCGACTCGCGTAATTCAAAACGAGGTTACAACGCATTATAGCTGAACAATGGCGGTAAGTCCAAACTTAATTTGGAAGGCATGTTAGGATTTGGGGTAGATTATTGGTTTGGATATTCTACAGAATAGCTAGTATGTTCCAGTCGGTGATCAACATATTCATACTCCACCTGCAATGGCATTCTTGGTGCTCGGCTGTCCAATAGTTTAGCATGAACACAAATGAATTCGAAATCTGCCACAAAAAAATGCGACTCAGTGTTGCTTTATATCTGAAGCTGAACGCAATCACAGCCAAAGGTAGATAGCACAATGTGTGTACAGGTGTGGCCGAAATGGAGCAACTTTGGACAAAATTGAATATAAAGGGCTATTTTAATAGACCTACATCGTGTCTCAATCCATTCTGCAAATATATACAAGCTGTCAAATACAGCTGAAATCATGAATTTATGGTAGCTAGCAATATTGATGGACTGTTGGAAAGATTATCCCAAATTACATTAACTCACCAACTCTCCAATTATTTGATATTTTCCTGATATCTTAAATACTAGTTAATGTACCCTTCCCCAACAGCTTTTATTGCATCATCAAAAAGTTAATTGTTTCGCATTTCTACTTCTTATAAAAAGTCTCACCACTATCCAATTATCTATATATTGTCGCGCCGGGCCGATTCCCAGGAGTACCCTGTATGCAAACTTCAGGAAAGGCCAGGGACGATATAAGGGATCTTGGAGGTGTTATACACGGGTGCCGACCTGGTTTGGTGGTACGGCAGTTACCTTTCAAAGATGGCAATATAACAATGGTATACAGGGATTTTATACTCTATTCCAATGTAAAATAATAATACAAATAAATTCAAAATGTCTATATAGAGCTGGAATGTCTCTGTAATTGTTCACTTCAGCTTCTTCCAGTCTTCTCTCTCTTCTAATAACACCTTGAATAATTGTAAGAGGAGGAGGATCTGCTCCTATGAACTATCTTCACCCTCTAGGAGGTCCTTCTGCTCCAACTGGTAAAATGGCCTGAGGAGGATCTGCTCCTCTGAAGCTTTCTTCACACTAAACTGGAATCTAACCTCGGGGAGTTCCTTCTGCTCTAGGTATCGTCTCGTCTATATCACTGTTTCAATGTGATATCTATGGAGGAGGAACAACTCAGGAATGTCAATCAAAACTGAGATTAGACCCAAGTTATAAATGCTCCAAATAATCTTCACTGCGCTGTCCCTCAGAGTCGTCTCACCTCGGAGGAATCAGGGCTCCAGGAGTTTTGGTTCCGGAAGTGTAACCTTGGCTCAAGGAGTTATTTTGTCTCTATAAAACTGTCTCGTGGAAGGGGTCCAGGCTCCGGGAGTATCTCCTGCTCGGGGAGTCGCCACTTCACAGGAGAAACCTCTTCTTTTGTACAAGACCCTTGCTATTGGAGTACCTTCCACTCCAGGAGTTGTCTCGTCTCAGGGGAAACCTCTGCTCCTGAACGCAACCCTGGCTATTGGGAGTTCCTTCCGCAATGGGAGTCTTCTCGTCTCTATAGTAACTTCTGCTCAACCTCTCTCACACTGTCTCTTGGAAGGAGTCCAGACTCCGGAAGTATCCTCTACTCAGGGAGTCGCCACTTCACAGGAGAAACCTCTTCTTTTGTACGAGACCCTAGCTATTGGAGTACCTTCCACTCCAGGAGTTGTCTCGTCTCAGGGGAAACCTCTTCACCCTCTATAGAGAAATAACACCTCTGGAATGTCCATCAGATGGTGAGATTAGACCAGACCTGCTACTTCTCGATCGTGGAGTACCTTAGTTCCGGTGGAGTAACCTTGGCTCCAATGAGAGTAAACCTTGCAACACAGAAATACTTTGGTTCCGGTAGTGTAACCTCAGTATCTAACTTCTGGAGGAGTCAAATCACATCGGAGGATACGTCAAGTTCAGCAACTTGTATCAATTTCGGATCATCAATAAGCCAGAGGAGGAAAAGGAGCAACTCACGAATATCGATCATTAAACTGAGATTAGACGGAGCTGTATCCTCAACCCTCGGAGCAAATTCCACTCTAGAATAGATGGAGGAGTAAGCACTCTGAGTTGGCAATCCTCGGAGCAGATACAACTCTCGAATATCAATCACAACTGAGATTAGACAGAGCTGTAACTACTCGGACCAAATATAACTCGGAGGAGATATAACACTTAAATAATTGGAGGAGTAATCACTCGGAGCAGTGAGTCCTCGGAGCAGATATGGCTCTCGAATATCAATCAAACTGAGATTAGACAAGAGCCTTAATTACTTGGAGGAGGAATTACTTCTTAAAATGACGTCACTTCCGTAAAAATAAAGATGGCTGACCGCTTGGAATTCTGGGAAGAAGAAATCAAAATGGCGGACAGCAATATGGCGTCAAACTCAATAATCAATTTGCCAACTCACCCAAAACTGGCTGTTATCTTCTTGTATCTCGCACAGTCACAACGGACGCAAAAACTGCAGCAACTAATGTCAGCAAATAATCCAAATATCATGTAATACAGTTCGCAATTCACATCGAACACGCTACCACATAAAATGATACAAACTGACGAGGTGTTTGCTCTGCAAAGTCTTGGTTTACTCTGATTTACAGGTCACTTTCTCACACTCTAATCCCAGTCATCTCAGAATGCATCATGGGAAAACTACAACTTATGTTGGAGGGAAATTCAAATGAAGCCATCTGATTGGTTGAGCTCTGTTGCTGGGTGCCTAATTATGCAAATTTATTCCAACCCAGCTTGCTGATCAAGTAAACATCCAAGTTACAGGGACGGAACATTGAATAAAGATAAAATAACACAAAATCCTGTAAAATAAACGTTTCACAGGCCCAAGTATTACTCAGGGGAATTAAAAATTCCCACACTCCCCCCTACTAAGGTTGATCGCCCACGATCACACAATATAAAGTCAACTACTAAGAAAATACATCTCAATGTTACAATGTACATAAAGAGCTCAAGTGCCTCTTACAAAATAATTACAAGTAAAGAGCTCACTTAGCTCCTTTCATCAATACTCGCTCAATCAACAGTCTATTTACACTCATCTACTATCTGCACTACTATCTATCTTAACTTTGTATTGTATCATTTAGGAAAAGAGTCACTACGCCTCAGTAGTTGCCCCTCTGCCATGCACATGGGAGAGCCTCATTGGCTCCTCAGATGAGTCAACTCTTCTCCAGTTCATCTTGTCTCTATCAGCACAACATACTGGTAAGTATGTCGGCTGTCTTCTTTGACATCTTGGTCTCGCTCTGTAAGGTAGACTTTCTTCTGACTGCTCACTTGATGACCCTCTTGGTTTGTAGGCTCGCCTCTCTCTTGTCAACTCGCTACCACTCGACCGTCTTGCCCCCCTACTTGACCTTCCCTTCTCAAGGAGTGTAGGTCTCTCTCGGCTGTCTACTAGGGCTCGAGGTTCCTCAGCTCCCACCCCAGGTCTATTGGAGGCATCTCGGCTCTTAACATCAAGAGAGTCATCTTCGCTCTTCCTTCTGCTATTCTGGAGCCACACAGTATCACCTAGCTCATCGGGATTCTTTTGAAGCTCATTCTTCTTTCGCTCTCTTCTTTGTCTCTTTCTTCTTTTGTGGGTTGCAGTAATGAAAGTTCTTGGCTCCTTTGACTTCTCTTCTTGGGAGCTGCAACAGCTCTGGATTCCTTCTCTGTTGGAGTCATGGAAGCTCATCTGTAAAGAGCCATAATGGATCACTGCTTTACTAGCCGACAGGTAGTCTGTCCCTAGGATTCCATCCTGGCTGATTTCGGCAATCTCCATCTCTAAGGGGGTCTTCCTTCCATCTAACTCCACCTCCATAGAACACGAGCCGTAGACTGCTATTGGAGAACCATCGGCTTGCAGCAAGACATCTTTGGCTGGTTTCAGTTGTGGTCTCTTCCGGTAGTTGATTCTGTTGAAGCTGTGTAGACTCATCAAAGACACCACTGATCCTGTGTCTATTAGGCACTTAACAGGAGTTCCACACAGCTCAACAACAGCCTCTATCTTCTGAGCAGATCCAGCTCTCTTAGGATCTCCTACTGCTCGACCTCTGCCATCAAGAAAACATACTGGGTGGATCCTTGGAGCATCTCTACTCTTCTTTGGTTTGGGACAATCAATGGAGAGGTGCCCTGGCTCCAAACAATTGAAGCAGGTGACTAGAGGACATCTTCTCACAATATGACCTTCCTCTCCACATCGTCTACAAGTAATGCATCGAGGAGCTCGGAGCTCTCTTTGCTCTTTGAAGAGCTTTAAAGCCTCCCCGATCTCCTTCATCTCTGTCTTCACGCCCTCGACCAATTTTAGCAGTTTTTCCTCCATAGGGTCACTGGCAACCATGGTAATGTGATGATCACGTTGTTTAGGTTTCAGTCCCTTGCGAATTTGTTCCGATTCTTGATAGGCTTCCTCCTTCTGGGCTTCCTCTATGGCTTCATCCAGAGACTTTGGGGCTCGGCGATGCACTGCAGCTCGAACATCATCGTCTGTTATA